GGAAACAAAAGACAAACCTAAGCCGCCTTGAGGAGATCCTTATGTTTGACTAAAGTTGGTTGGCTTATCACCTTCTGTCACCATGGAGTCAGATCTTTTTGCCCTGTCCACTTGACGACCGCGAAAGCAGCCACTCGTAGGATACGTACCACGCTCAGACAGCGGCCAGATGAACCACGGCAAGAGCGGAGGCGCATTCGAGACAGTCCCTCCACTTGACCTTGTCGGACCTAGTTGTAGTTTCATGGGCAGTCAATGGATCATTTTTTGTTCGGGACATCCTTTCGCCAGGCCTATTCAGGCTCGTGGAGGTCGATTTGGTCACAGCCTTGCGTTGTAGGCTAGCCAAAGGTTAGAGCGTTGTACTTCAACAGCTTGATGAGAGCTTAGCGAAGAATATCGCCGGCTGACGCACTCGAAAACCAGATTTGTGAAATGTCTCAGGGAACTCAATGGGGACACTTGTGAGGCTATGAGGGCTACGTTTTTTGTTTGAGGCATTGCTCCGCAAGAATGCAACCCAAAAGCTGGAATTCTAGAACCACCAAAGCCTGGTGCTTTCGCCTGACCTGAACATGTGTAAGTCTGTCAAAGCTTTGCCGTTGTTGCGAATCGAGATGTTCAAGCTGCTTTTACCACTTTGATCCAATGGAGCATGAGTGGCATGATTTAAAGCAAGAACATTCTTTCCGGCGCTGTCCACTTTTGGATTGCGCCCGTGCACGTAAGCGTCAGGAGCATGTGCAGGTATCGAAAGCACGTGGGATGATCTCCTTCAAAGTTGTCCCAGCTACTGCTTGCCACTTTGCCATCAACGCGCAGGTGGTGGCAAAGGCAGCCTTTATGAGACCATCTACGGTACCAAGGGCAAGGGCTATGACTATGGGCAGGGGAAAGGCAGGGCTAAGTCGCTGGCAGACTGTGCACAGGACTCCTGTTATGTTGGGTGTGGCTTGGTGCTGTTTCCCCGTCAGATGTTTGAGGGTGACATCCCTCGGGCCAGCAAGGAACAAGTCGTTTGCGCGGAATTTGTTGTTTGCTCTCTAGTGACTCTGTGACTTATGTATACCTTGCTGCTTGTTGCGCGTTGCTTTCGCTGTGCTGTTTTGTTGCTTGTTGGCTGTGTGCGTGTTGCTTGTGTTTGTTACTTGCGTGTTGCTTGCTGATCGACATGCCTGCGTTTCCCCCGAACTGGTCATTGCTGCTGTGAGCACTGTTGCGGGCTGTTACCGCCGGTGGTGGTGCTGGTACTAGTGCTGGAGCTGGTGCTGCTGCTGCTGCTGCTGCTGCTGCTGCTGCTGCTGCAGATGATGATGATGATGATGATGATGATGATGATGATGATGATGATGATGACGACGTGACTGTTGGAATTGCAAATACTGTTGTGCCTGGTGGTGCAATGGCACACGCCGTTGCGACTGCTGCCGTTCCCTGACAAATGCAAAAGTAGACTAAAACCTGCAGTTCCCTGGTGGTTGAATTTTGACCAATACACATATTAATAATATGTCGATCGATCGCCGGCTTCCCGGAAATTAAGCGTTATTCAGGTTTTGGCTACAGCAGCCCTATCGGCGGCAGCGGTGGCAGCTACGGCGGCGGGGCCAGCTACGGCGGCTGGGGAGGAGGTGGCGGCGGTGGCGGCGGTGGCGGCGGAGGCGAGAGAATGGTCAGCATCTTCTGGGTTTGCATGGGCGAACGCACGGCCTCCCTTGAAACGAATTCCGAGCCAAAGGTGTCGGAGCAACTTTTTGAAATAGGGTTGCTTTGAAAGGGTCCCTACATTCCCGGTCAAACAAAGCGTACATACTCACAGTTTATGAGTTACGATCTGCCGACTTTTTGGGAACATGATGAAGGCTTGCCCTAGTCTCCACAACCCACGGTCTTCGGGCAATCTTGCACAGATTGTGTCTAAACATGATTGAACAGACTTGTGTCAAAGCAGAAGTTAGCAATTGAAGAGGCTGGACATCTCACTTTAGTGATGAGTTCCTCTCCTTTACCAGCCGCGCGACCTTCTGATTTGGCTAAGTTGCGTGATTCCTCTCTATCTCGCTGGAGTGCCTTGGCTTGTTTTTTTTGCTGTGCTTGAGGTTTTTCCATCGCGAATCCGCGGGCTAGAGGCAAAGCCCGAGAAAAGTGGGCAGGCAGTTTGGCCAGTGAGCAATGGACGAGCGCAAAACAACTTGCCGAAAGGTTCCTGTGTTTGGATCTCTGTCGGGCACATGGGCAAGTATGCCGTTCATGATGTGAGGCAAATATTTCTTCAAATTCATCTGGCTTGTTTGCTTCAGTCTCTACTGGGTGCACCAGCTGGGCCAGTCCTCAGTGCCAATAGCGATACCATACTGTGCATCGGATCGACCTGGAGTCTTGCACCTTGCTAGGCAAGAGCCGGGGAGCCAGTTTGCTGCCCAATGACCTCTCGCGCGTGGAGACGGCGGTTCTGGAGCTGAATGAGCAGGACAATTCTATACACCCATGTGAAGCCATGGTCATTTTGGACACCTTGGTGGCTGGTTTGCGATTCATTTATGAGCTACGGGTTCATACCAGGGTTCCAGGCATTGTGACTGTTGCCCAGGACTGAGTTGTGTTTTGAGAAGCGAAGGGCTGCCAAACCGAATCAGCACAGCCCTGGACCAAGCCGGCCAAACATGGATGACAATCGGGGATGCCGTCAGATGAGTTAGCGAATAGGTTTAGGTTGGAACACGGTGAGTTTCCAAAACAACAGTTTCCACCGGGCAGACTTCTCAAAAGCGATGCTCAGATAATTTAAAGTGAATTTGGTCTTTTTGGCCTAGTGCCCTATGAAAACAACAGCCGAATGCAGAGTCCGAAATTGCATGAAACGAGGCCCAATTTGTTTGTGTTAGGCTGCTTGTGAGCCGAGCCATGTGGAATGCCACAGCAAAAAGTCAAAGCAATACTACGAGGCTATGATGTTGGTCGGCCTATTGCTGCGCATCTCGTACACAGGCGCTGCCACATTTGTCGATTCCGGCCTGTTGACCTGGTGTTTGTCTCGCATCACTGCATTTCTTGTATCGAATTTGCTGCAGCCTGGAGGGGTAATGGACGAGGCCCCAGAAGCCGCATTGCAATCCAATATGTTGAGGCAAGCAGGTTACTCCCAGCGGGCAGGTTCTGTGTTCCCAACGGATTTCCAAGGTTGGGCAGTGCTTGTGGGAGGTTTCTTTGATCCTTGTCAGTGACTGCCTCAGATTAACATTTGCATGTGAGCTGGCAGGGTATTCTCGTGTGCTTTGCCTAGACCCTAGTGTCGTGCCAAAGTTTTCTGAGCCCTTGTTCCATGATATCCAAGTGTTGGCTCTTGTTTCGTGCAGAGATCACGCAGTCAACCGACATGCTGACGTGAAGGCGCCCTGCTTGAGCTCCTTTTTGTGCTCGTTGCAGGACCTGTGGGCTGGCCAGGAGATCAACCCCTCGACTTTGTTGAGCCTGCGCCGCCCGACAAGAAGTTCCGGGTGGGATGCAACCAGATCTCTGGGGACCTGAAATGCTACAGCTTCAGTTACGCAGGTGGATTGCAGGTAGGACTGTGTTAGATTTGGAAGCCTTGCTCAAATGGAGGGGTTACCCTTGCATGTGGGGACCCTGATTGTGGTGCATTCCCACGTTTACGGGGGGGGATAGTGTGTTGGCTGCAACGGAGTAGAGGGATGAACACTGACAAGCCAGTCTTTACCCTAAGCATCACCCGCCGGGCTCTCGCCAGATCCCTGTGGCTCAGGTGCAAGCCTGTGGCTTGTCAAATCCTAAGTCGCACGGTCTGGAGCATGCCGCTATTTCGGGTTCTATTCACCGAAGGTCCAGGCCATGAACCTTGACAATCATGTGTCTGGTTTTGTTGGGTCGCCGAAGGGGGCCCTTTGCCGGGTTGGTTTAAAGGGCAACCCGAGTCCAAACCCCCAGAACCACACCCTGTAGAACCAAACCATGTACCCCATCTACCATGTTGATGGTGCCCACTACCCCGCAAACCGCTACCCCCAGTGGAAATTGAGGTACATGCCCTATGGCGCCTTTAGTGGCTATGTAGATCCCTGGTAGCTTGAGGGGAGTGGAAACCATCCAATCTTATGTAGACCGGGTTTCCTCCGTTCCTCCAACAGCCCTTTTCAGAACCTCCACAAAATGTGCGATCATTTCAAGGGAAGCCGTTGGAACCACCAGTAAATAGATCCAACTTTTGGGGCGAAATCGGGTTCTCCATGTGCACCGCCAGGCTGCATCCCGGAGGAGGACGCCTTGGACCTGCTGCAGAACTTGCAGGGCAAGGCTTGGACGGGCTCCCACCAGTTGAAAGGCTGAAGGATCCAAGTGAAGGACTCCTGGACCATGCCCATGGCCCCAAGTGGTTGGAAGGGCTGGGAAGAATTGAGGGGAAATGAAAAGGAGAGTGGCTGCGATCAGTGAGCACAAGCTGGAGAGGTTGCCTCTTGAGGAACAGGACTACGGTAAGGTGAGGCTTTACCGGGAGATCAGGACTGCCGCGATAGCTCCCGTGTTTTTCGTCAACTGTTCGTGTTTGGGTTTCGTAGGCCGGGTAGCAACAGGACAGGGGTTAGACGTGGCTTTGGGTCTAGGAGCCTCGTGTTAGCCGGCAAAGAATACGCTGGAACTCGGATCGTGATAGGTTTCAACCAGGCCTTTGCAATCTCTTGACGAGGGTGTACACGCTTGCCGCACAAGCAAGGCATGGTTATAAAGCGCCACTGCATCTGTGAATGTAGGCATTTACGTACGTTATGCATGTAATTAGTGTAGTTCGATGTGATGCAATACATGTAATGCAACGCCACGTGACGCATGTAATGTACTCTGCATCGGATGTATGAAACATAGTGTATTTGATATGATGCAATGCATGCTTATACATATAGCCGCTGCACGTATACAGTATGCAGTTTCCATGCCGGATGCTACTGCACATTTCCTTATGTCCCTGTATTTAAGAAATCTCTACCATGTGTGACAAGTGGCCTCTCTTGAAGTTCCCAGACTTTGTGGCTGGCACTGAGACAGCGCAGCCACAGCAAGCTGGAGCCATAGCAAGGAGTGATAGTGATAAGTGACCAGTGATTAGGGGCCATGCAGGCTTCCCATGGCTCCCCTTGTTAGGACTTTGAAGCAATGTTGGAGACAGAACTAAACACACATACGCACATGAATGTTATATATATGTATAACGCATATCCGCAACAAGCAGGCGAATATATAATGCATATATATATATACAGAGAGATATAAAATATGAGTCACCTTGTGGATTGGTACCATGTATATGGTATATCTCTCCCTAATAAACTGTCTAGCAATGTCCACTCGCCTGGCTTCATGCTACTGCCAGGGCAAAGAAATCAGAAATCATTCGGAGCGGGCAGGCACTGGGAAAGGAGAAAAAGAGCAAGCAAACCAGCCAAGAAAGAAAAACAGAAAAAAAAGCTAACAAGCGAACAAGCAAGCAAACAAGCACACAAACAAACAAGCAAGCAAAGGAGCAAGCAGACAAAGAAGCAAAGAAGTAGTCAAGCAATCAAGAGCAGGCAAGCAAGCAAGCAATCAGGCCAACAAAGAAACCAGCAAACAAGTCAACAAGCAGGCAAAGAAGCAAGCGAACAAGCAAACAAGCCAACCAAAAAGAAAACCAGCAAATAGGCAAACAAGCACGCTCACAAGCAAGCAAACACACAATCAAGCAAACAAACCAACAAGCAAACAAACCAACAAAGCAAACAAGGGTTCTGTACGTTGCTCCACGTTTTTTTTCTGCAGCTCCCACGGTTCGCAGTGGCAGGGCATGAGCAAGGGCAGCAAGGGCATCGGGAACTTGAACAACTACATCCAGGCCACGAGGGGAGGTACAGTTGCTCAGGGCTCCTTAAAAGATCTCCATTTTGCAACCATTTGCAACATGTTGCTTTTTCGACACCGAAAAGGGAAACCACCATGTACAAGTTGCAATGTTCAGGTGTATAATGTAAGGATCCCTGTTGCTTGACTGCTATTGGGTTACGGATCTTTAGACTTTAACTTTTTGGGGGAAATCAAGGTGTTTTCCACTAAACCCCCAAAAAGTGATTCACTTTTTGCAGGGTCAACAGCAACCAAGGATGCCTCATATTGTGGATGGCCGAAATCCGTTCGCATCACTTTGGCACAATGCTTGAATCCGGTCGTTGGTATTTCTAGGGGAATCGAATCATTCCAGGGTCTCTTTTGGGTGGTGCAGGATTTCGTCCATCTACAGTAGATGGCACAATTCCTTCATTTTGGCTCAGTCATACCTTTTGCTTACCGACGCAGAAAGAATCGTGGCATTACTTTCACCCTGGTGTGCGTCGAATTCTTGACATGTTCGAGGGCCAACCTCAGGAACTATGATTTGAGCACTAAAGCGTTTGCTGCATGATAGAACGGTGCACGCCGTGTTTGCTTCTCATCAGTGGTGCGAGCATTGACCAAAGCGCATGTTCGCTGAACACTTGCAATTCGCCAGCTGACTAGTGGCTGTGTTGGGTGGGGCGGCGTCCAGCATGCCTTGAGACCGTGGGGATGCGCCACTTCAAAGCCGCGTGCTGCCAAATCCTGGTGATTTGCCATGTGCACCACATGCCTGGCGCTGCCAAACAATGACCCGTGTTTTATGTCCTGTGGGCAAGTTGCCGAAGCTTGACAGTATTTTCGGTTGACGCACTCGCTTCCGGCCGTCGCAAACAAGTCGGTTGCTACACTGGGACATGGGTGCTGATGACTTTGGAAGTGTTTTTGTTCTCCGTCGATAGATCGCCTTAATTCCACTCTTGGAGCCTGGTAGGTTGTTCGATACGCCTGGCGAGTCATCATCCTGGTACTGACTAGGCACCTTAAAAACATGTTCGTGTCGCTACAGTGCTGGCCTCCGTTGCGACCCAAGAACCTTGCAAAAGTTTTGCCAACCCATCAATTCAATGCACCGACTGGATGGGTCGGGTAGCATGGTTGGTGTAGGGGAATGGTCGTGCTGAAGCGGAATGAAGCACGTAGCTTCAAGGCTTTTGAAGTCCATGAGCGCCGTTCATTTGTTTATGGTACTGAAACTCATTTGTCCGAAATGTTTTCGTTGGAAATGGGAACGCGCAGCACTCACTTCGCTTTCTACCCGCAGTTCAAGAGGGCGGGTAGTTGACTTCCCACGGCAACCCCTAGTTTCAAGTCTTGGGCCAAGGGGCGAAATTCGACTCGGGGATCGGCATGACATGTGGGCCGTGCTCGTGCGCGGTTGAGAAAACTGCAAGGCTGCGGTGGGCAAAATTGCCAGAGAGGGCGGGCACAGCTTCAACAAGGGCGGTAAGAACTACACCGGCAACCAGAGCAGGCAGAAGGCAGGGCTCAGTTTTTGAAGGTCTCGCGCATTTGACGAGATGAGAAACCACTCCAAATTGATGGGGGGGAGCACAAATAAGGCCCTATTCTGGGCTTAAGCCTTGTTAATTGTTTGGGCTCCCTCCCCCCTCCACACCCCCCACCCCCAGCACCCATGACAACTGATTGGCATGAAGGCTTCGCTCACTATGCGGAACCTGCACACAGTTTGGTGGGTGACTGGAGCGGTTTTGTGAAGGTTCCTGTTTCACTTTGCACGGTGCCTGGAGCTTTCGGGCATCTTGTTCAGAGGTTGCTCTGAGCCTCAAGATGAGCAAGCCTAGACATTTGTTCGAATTGCTTTGGCTTTCAGAAGTTAGTATTTCACAACTCGGATTTCAGAACACGGTTCGCCTGTCTCACCAATTTGGTTGCCAAAGCTTCTGCCAGCGATCCGCTAGGCAGAGGAGTTGGGTCTGAACCTCTCGGATGCCACCTATGAGACCATCGCGCACATGCCGCTGAGGTGCGGGGCTTTAGAATTTTGGGCTCAAAATCCACGCCTGGCACCAGGTAGGTTGTTCATTCGAGTCTTCCGCGAGTATTCATAGGGTCTCATCCATCTCATTCATGCCGCCCCTTTGACAAGGGGCGGGGGGGGAGTGGTTGCATGGGGCAAGAAGTACCCGGGAAAGCGGGGGGTACACTTGTTGCTCCGTGGTGTTGATTTAGACTCAGCAAAGGGCTGACCCAGCCGTTGGGGTTGACTTGGGGTGGGTTTGGGGCTGGCTTGGAGCTGACATGTGTTCCTCCTTCATGAATCTGAGCTAGCCTCACCTACCCTAAATTCAACCCGCCCCGAGCAACTCCCAACTGCCACCCAATCAGAGCTAAGCTGGGGCTGCGGCGAATTTCCCAGCAGAAAGTTGAGAATACCGCCTTTTGCAACACGGAACGCCCTGTTTGGATGATAGTTGCCCTGCCCAACAAAAGACACCGCTAGGAACAAGCCAAAGGGAAGAGAAGTAGCTCAACCAACACGCCTCGAAGCGGTCTCTTCCATCCCACTTCCATCCGCAGTATTAGGCCCCTACCTTTGACAATGATCGGAAAAGCTCTGAGAAGCCTTAGGTTGCAGCAAACAGGGTGTTGTGTTTGGGGGTACCCATGGTTTTGGGGTTCCATTGGGACTGGTTTGGGGGAAACTCAAAAGGAGTGCGCGCATTCTAAGGGCTCCATGTAGAGAACCACGAGTTTGCTGCTCTGCAATTTTCCACCCAGGCCTTCACAGTCATGCATAGAACATGCAGAACAATCGCTTCCCCCTAACAAGAAATACGGACCCGGCAGCCTGGGGAGAATGATATTTCTTCATAGGCCGATTTTATTCATGGGGGAAAGAGAACAGACACAATCGCTTAATCACTTTTTCTGCCTCCTTGTTGCTGGCAAACCTGCTGCTCGGCCTTCTTCTCAGGCGATGTCAAAGGCTTGGCAGAAAGCCCATGGGATCCATTTCAGTGCGACTCGCCAGGAAAGCCACGCGCCTTATCGAGGAAGCTGCCCAACGCCAATCGGAGGGCGAAGATCCAAATCAGTACATCGAAAGAGCCCTGGCTTTTCTCCCACCCTCTCCCCCCCCCCCCCACCCCCGCTTCTTAAAGGGGTTGTTTTTTTCGCCTTTGTGACCCTCGTTTGTCATCACGCATTTTCTCCGTTAGTGTATGTATTTGTTTCCCAACCATTCCCCCTTGCAGGCTCAGAGGTGCTTTGCTGCTTTCCGTTGTGGTTGCAAAAACAGCTGCGATGCCTGGGTTTGAACGCGTGGCGCAAAGCGCCGTGGTGCTTCTACTTGATTGGCGCGTGCCGCCCTGGCTGTTGTGCTTGGTATGTTGACATGTTGTGCCAGTTGCTTCATGATCTGCGCTTGCGATGTTTTAGAGTTGGTCGGTGTTGTGTTGCGAGTGATGGTCTGACTGATTCTCGTGTCGGCTGTTCCGTCCTTGCCTCCTTGGGCGATTCTGCAAGAGGCTTGTTGGTATGTCATGGTTGCCGTGGTAGCTGCGCTGCCGGGGTGGGTAAGTTGGCAGCTTGGTTTATCCAGCTTGCCCCCCCAAAAAAACAAAACGCCTTAAACTTGTCATGTTCAAGGGTAGCGGCGCTGGAATAAGACACATGGCGCGAGTATGAGCATTCGATGCCTACCCTCATGTTTCTCCCCAGCTGGCTCCGCTGCAGACCTCACCCAATCCTCCTTGAATGTCCCTCCTTAAGGGTTCGGCACTTGGTAGCCTGGGTGATAAACAATGCAGCTGGCGTTGGGTGGCTTGGTAGGTTTGGTGGCTCGCCTTGGTGTGTTGGTGCCTCGGTGAGTGCAGGTTTGCTTCGTCCAACTGGTGTGATTGAATGCCTGCCTGCTGGCTCCAGAATGGGCATTGTTTTGGCTGTCCATGGTTTACCTGTTGCTTGGGTTGAAGGTCGGATAGAACCGGCTGGAGCGAGCTTGTCGGGTATGCCTGTGTGTGTCCTTTGGTTGGGATGTGGCTGGCTTCGGGGGAGTTGCCTTGTGGCCGCGCGAGCTGGAGCGTTGTGCTGCTTTGTTTTTCGCTTTGTTGCCGTGGGCCGCTGGCCTTCAGCATTGGAAACCAAGCTCGGCTGGGTTTGTGCCAATAAGTGAGTGCTTGAGTATTCAGTGCTTTCCGGTTGGCAGGCTGGTGTTGCCCGTGGGATATGGATTAGAGAGCTGCGGCTCACTTACCACGACACCCTTCACCAGACAGCCCAGAACATGTACCCATGTACCGTGTCCAAAAGGGAATGCTGAATCAACACTTGTTTGCGGCTCACTTGCCTTCCTGCCAACATACAGGCAAACTCGTAGGGCTTCCCATTTTTCTGCCCTCTTCAGGTTCCATGTGGCGGACTGGTCCCAGAAAAGATACCTTCAGATTTGAGGGTGCTTGTCAAGTTCTTTGGGAGCTTCGCCATGTTCCGGCGAGCTGACAAGCTGGCACGTGCTCGTTGATTGATCCCTGCTCATGTGTTTGCACTAGGCCTTCATCATACCAGCCCGGGCTCGGACAAATCGAACTGCCCATTGACAGCTTTTACGGCGTCTAAACTCACATTCCCGAACCAAGTGCCTTGAAACGGCCCGCGATTTTGACACGATGTAACAGCATAACAAGTACTATTGCAGTGCTTCAGATTCAGTGACTCTGCATACTGAACGATTCACAAGGTTTGCGTGTGCGCATCCAAAAAAACTCGGTAGACACGTTGTTGGGTCAAGCAACGATCCAAGGGGAAGGCCCAAAGGGCAAGAAAAGCCAAACCCTGCAAACTCACTGGTCGCAGGCATCAGTTCAGTTTTTGTGCGTTCTGACCCGCATTCTCCCGCATGGATCCAATGGACTCAGGAGAGGCTCTCGTGGATGACGAGCCTGAGGCAAAGCGGCGGCGTGTTTGAGGTGGCCAGAACACGGGGATGCGGGCGGAGTCCAAAATGCGTTTCGCGCGTTTACGGGGGAGCGGGGGGGGAGGCGGGGTGGGCAATGGTGCTGAGCACCAGTCTCTCTAGGGGCTGATTCACATTCTTTTCAACCATCGTTCTTTTCAAAAACCCAGCCGTTTTCGCCTGTATGTAGCGACTGGTCACCTTGTCCACGTGCATCCAGACCGCAGAGCATGGAGTCTCATGTGTGGGGCACGAGGGGGGCGGGGGCAGAAGCGGAAGAGCTACCGAGCCACTATATGGGGAGGTCTTGCTGCACCGATTTTTGTCAGCTACGACATATGCGAGGGATCTTGCCAGATGCACGTTTTACAGCAAGACATGTTTGCAAAGGTTGCTTGACTAGAGGCAGGTGAAAGCTGAAATGCACTTGCACACCTCGGAGGGATACACGTAGCAATGTCCAATTCATATGCAGTAGCTTCAATGTAAGGAAATGTGCCAAATGTCTGTGAGCTGGACATGTCATCAGCATGCCCATCACATTCTGGCGGTGCCCATGTGCTTGGCTCTTGTGAGATCTGGACATAGCACGCGTGGTCAGCTGGACGATTCTGAATCCGAAAACCCGCCTAAACATGGTTGTTGTTGGGAAACATTTTACATTTTTGCTTATTGTGGTTTAGTGGGAGATCCCCACTTAACTGCTACTTTTTTCTGCTCCCCTTTCAACGTCAACCAAGTAAAAGCTTGGGCACTGTGTTGCGAACGGTTCACAGGGTCGGAGCTTTCGGTTAGTGAGCACCGCCCAGGCCTAATTATTGCCATGTGTTGCCCTTCATTTGTTGAAAACCAAAAATCGAGATCCATCTTCCTGACCAGGTGCGCCCAAAGGGGGGAATCTCTGAATCTCTGACTCCAGCGAGTCGCGTGAGACTCCACGGCACTTGCAGCCCGAGGCCCCGTGGGCCTTTCTCCTCCCTCTGCGCTGCTTTACGCCGTTGGGGTCGCGGAGGCGAAGGCTAGGAGCAAATCGAGCAAAGAACTGGAGCACAGGGAAGCCTTCGGAAGCCTTGGCCGTGTGTCTTGAAAACGTAAAGGGAAGCAACGCGTGAAAACAACTCTGGGAGGTCTCCCATGCGACGTTCATGGCTTTGAGCTGACGCAGACAGAGCACAAGGCAAAGCACGTTTTGGCAGGTTCTCCTCGTCGACCTTTTCCGGAAGCCGACAGAGCACCTGCTTCTTGACGGCAGGGGCTGAGCTGTTTGGCAGATAGGTCGATGTGTTTTTTCAGACGCGATGTTTTTGAGGGCGATGTGTTTGCAGACGCCGTTCAAAGTTGCCATGGAGGAATGAGCGTTTTGGATAGACTCTGAATCTGGTTTCGCCAGTTTCCTCACGCAGCGCCGCATATCTAGGGATTGATGGGAAACCTCGGGTGCTGCCTGCCCGTGTTGACTCATGGAGGGCAATGCGTCCGGCAGCTGCGATTTCCCGAAGCCCTTGCGAAGTTTCTTTCTGTGTTCCCTGCACGGTCGCAAGTTGAGTGCAACATCGAAGCGAGTGCAAAGGGGGGCCCCATGTCGTTTTCAGCCGGTGTTCAAGCAGATCAAATGGTTGCGTATACGTGTTGGTTGTCGTGTTCGAGGGTGTCGCTGACTGCTTCCTGGCACTTGATGGATGCCTTAATTGATGTTGTTGCCATGGCCCGTTGCCTTGCGGATTGTGTTGTCACCGCACATTACAAGCGGCCATGCGAAGTCGTTTTTTCTTGTCATGCTGAGGCCTCGCAGTCGAACGCCTCGCGTTCTGCTCACCGTGCGCGGCTTATTTGACTCAGTGCAGCCTGAAGTCCACTCCTGGACGTCAGGTATCCCGTTGATGGGTTGGTTTGGTGGGATGTGAACCCTTTCTTGTAGAGGGATGGGAAACCGCTCCAAACCACTGAACTCCAAGAAGCTGAGATGTGCATTGTGTGGGCTCCTCAACGAGCATGGGGTTCCCCAGGTGGCAACACTTGAGGGCGTCCCATGGTTTTTGAAGGTCAGCAACCAGAGTCAGTTCTTACGTCACCTGTTTCAAAGATGAACATATCCACCAACCCTCGGTGCGCCTCTCAGGCCAGCCTTCCTCAACAGAAGCCCCAAGTCAAGTTACCTCCTTTGTTTGATCTATGTGCAATGCTTTGCCGTCGCTCCTTTTGCTTGTTGGTGTATTGTTGGCACGTTAGATGGAAGAACTGGTCCGGCACAAGAATTTACCGTAATCGGCAATTCTGACCAATGACCAACGTTTTGATAGAGTTTGACAGGCTGGGGGGGGGGGGCGGTCGTAAAGACTGGGGCAAGGTGGACGTTTGCCATGTCAATGCGCCCGCGGTATCTCATAGATGTTTTCCTACGCAGTAAACGAGCTTGTCCGCCTGACATACATAGAGACGAAGCTGGAGCCCGGGCCCGCAAACCGGAAAGGATGCTCAGGTAGTTCGGGAGAGAAAGCATTGAGGCATTTGGTAAACTCGTAGTGGCAGGAAGGTGTTCAGGATCCATAGCTACCACCGCTTTCCTACCAACTTTCAGCAGAGAATGGCTCAAGGGTCCTTCCCGCAAAGCGGGCTTAGCTATTTCTGGGCCAAGAACCCCGTTCCAGCAAAGCTTTCCACAATGCGGGCGAGCCGGTCCATGACTCATGTTGGGCTGTTCAGGCAATCCTTTACCTTGGGTTGCGAAAGGGGTCGGTGCCTCTTTGTAACCTGTCGCTTACCAAGAGGGAATTCGGGCTTAGAATTGGACAAAGCTTCATTTTGAGCAGCCCAGTAAGCAGCATACGCATAACTTCTCGTCATCAATCTCAGGAAATGTCCTTTCAGCGGGGTCACAAGGGTATCACCGTGTCGCGCGGGCGCCAAACGCAGGTGACCGCGCACGGCAGCCGCAGCCTCATCCGACGGGACAGGGAGTTGCTTCCGGGTTTGGGCGGGTGTCAAAATAGAGGGACCCAGAGCTTGGTGGTTTGTCTTGTGGTTTCCCTATGGTTCCCTCTGAAGCCTTCCTCAAAGCGCAATAGCCTCAAGAAAACAAACTAATCCACGTGCTGGTGCTCTGAGATTTTGCTTCTGTTGAGGTAGCAAGGGGAAGACTGCTTGGGTATGTGGGCTGATTCCTCGTAGTTTGCCGCATTAAGGGCTGGCTCAGCCCATCGCAGGCTTCGGGCTTCACAAATGGCTATCCCCCCAGAAGCCGATGGACGCGTCAAAGAAACGAGGCATGCTGCGCAAGACGTAGCTTTGCGCACGCTAGATGGAGGGTTTGAGGACGCTAGCATGATTGGCCTGACTTCACGGGTCCGCCTTTCCCTGACAGGGTGGTTTTGGGGACATTGACTTCTCAGGGCCCGGCAGATGAGTATTGCATATACGAAGGCGTGTGCGGCTTCCAAGGTTGCTGTGAGGACCCCGTATCGAAGCTGGAACATCAAATGGGGAACATTTGGACGAAGAATCGGAATCGCACAACGTTGGCCATTTTGCTGACTCTTTTCAGCTCCGATTGTGGGGAGATGTCCTTAGGATGGCAACCTGCACCATGTGTTTTGTCCGCCCTTGTTTGGTTGCAGCTGTCCCAAGTGGGATGACATTACCCCAGAGCACCCTCTCCTGAAGCAATGAGTTCTGATGGCCCGGGGTAGCCTTAATTTACTCAGAGCAGCATAAACCTCCTGTTGGATATCCTCTCCTGGATATGGATCAGAGCACCGACCCAGCACTCCGCCATCCTTAGCCGAAGGTTGTTTCATGCAACCACAAACGGCTCAAGATGTTGGTGCGAGAAATCGGCAAGGCGGAAAAACTCCAAGACATTTGGGTGTGTCTGTTTTTAGTGAGCGTTTTTGAATGGTTTAAACAAATACTCACACACATATTCGATTCCTATTTGTCAACCCCATGTGAAGAATTCCACATTTCCATTTGGGCAACGCCGTCAGGTCAGGCTCGCCAGTGAGGGCCCCAGATGGACGCCTTGGAGCCAGAAACATCGCGTTGGCCGGTCGAAACGGCTGGCTTTGCGCAAGTGTAATGTCAACAGAATTCCCTGCAGAATTCAGAGAGCACGGGACATGCAAGCTGTGCCGAGTCTTGGTTGGCCGTGGTAAGATGTCCTCTTCTTTCAGAGGTCCGGGCTGCGTTGAGAGGGCCGTGCGTGCCATTTCAACGGACACCAAAGGGACCCAGCGGTCTGGGGGTCTCCCCCGATGCAAACCTTTGGGGGGCAAAGGGCCAGTTTCAAAGGTGGCGAGGCAACACTGCACTACTTTCCCTCTGCCTCGATAAACACAGCCCAAAAAGCAATGTGAAGGATCTTCCATGTGTTGGGGAAAATGCTTCACGTTCTTTCTGAACTGTGCAGTGTCGGCGGTTGGGTGCCAGCCAAGATGAGAGCAAGCAGACAAGTTATGAGTTTCTGGCAATTTGGGGCCAGCAACAGCGGTTCACGAGATCGGCGATTGGCAATGTTCTCCTTCATAGCCTGGCGTGTGGGGCTGGGGGGCAACAGGTGCAGTGCGGTTCATTGTCCTTATATTGTCCTTTGCTTCCTTTGTATGATACGCATGACTCAGCTCCAAAAAATCGTTTCTTGTCAGGTTCCATGTTCACCTGCAGGAGTGCGGGAGATTCCCTCCACCGGTATCGCTCGGTCCCCCGGGATCACCCATCCACTGAGACTCGCGAGCACCGGCAGCGGGAAGGCAACCGTCCGAGACCTCCCCTTGACAGCTGGCTTTCGTTTTGCTTAATATATTTTTTGTTTATTTTGTACCTCTTGGTTACGAAGGGAATCTATCAGATTCACTACTGGACATATCTTCCCATTTTTTCTAGGGACTTAGGCAAATGGATGGCCGAGAAAAGGAGCAATCGCTTTGAGACAGTTCACAGCCCCAGCGATTGTGGGTTGCCAATGTGGTGCTTCAGAAAATGGGGCTGGTTACAAACGGAAGTGCCTTTGGTTCTCCTTTAGTTGAACACCCAGCAAAAGTGGTTGACACCCCAAGTTTACTCCATGGTCCATCAAGCATGCGACAAACCATTCCGAAAGCGTACCTGACCTACACTGGCCCTTGCCCTGGGCAAGGTATGCTGATTCGCTGCTTTTGCTATGGTGTCGTACTTCTTTTATCCCAAAAGGTCAGCCCTTTGCCCTCGCCGGATCGGCTTCATTTCTTCTACGCGTCAAGAGTGAAAGGCGAGGGCATGTTGGCGTCGCTCACTGTTAGGATGATCGCAGGGTGCACATTTTACATTTAAGCCTTTGCAACAACCACTTGCTACATCCACAACAAAACATGCCCAAAGGACAGACCGATTTGTTGAATTTCACATAGTTTCTAGGCAAATTATAGCGAGCTCACTGGCCTGAGGCGAGCCCCAAACCCCGAATTACGAGGTGGTTACCGAAATAAGGATTTCTCAAATCTGTGGGGTGTTATTCGGCGCACCGGGGCGCCAAGTGTGGCCAGGTGTGCGAGATTCCGACCCCCGTAAAAAGCTTGAAAGCACATATGTTTGAGACAATCCGAGCCCTGAATTTCATTAACACGGGCATCAGGCTCTCAAAAACCAGCCGTTTCTGCTTATTTGGCCCTAAAATGCTTGCTACCGCACTCGTTTGAGAAAATATGGCCCTGCTCTGTCTCATTAAGACTGGCCTCAAATTCCCAACAACCAGCCGTTTCTGCTTAGTTGGCCTTGAAAAGCTTGAAAACACAGATATAGATGTTTGAGACAATCCGGCCCTTCTCTGTCTTTCATTGAGGCGGGCATCAGGTTCTCCAACACCAGCCGTTTCTGCTTATTTGGCCTGAAGAAACTTGAAACACACACGTTCGAGAAAGTCCGGGGCCCTTCGCTGTCTCTCGTTAAGACACATCAAGCTGTCAAAAACCAGCTGTTTCTGCTTAATTGGCCTTCAAACGCTTGAAAATACACTCGTTTGAGAAATCCGGCCCTTCTCTTTCTCTCATTAAGACTGGCCTCAACTTCTCAAAAACCTTTAAAAGCTTGAAAACACACGCGTTTGAGAAAATCCGGCCCTTCTCTGTCCCTCATTCAGACTGGCCTCAACTTCTCAAAAACCTTTAAAAGCTTGAAAACACACGCGTTTGAGAAAATCCGGCCCTTCTCTGTCCCTCATTCAGACTGGCCTCAACTTCTCAAACACCAGCCGTTTCTGCTTAATTGGCCTTGAAAAGCTTGAAAACACACGCGTTTGAGAAAATCCGGCCCTTCGCTGTCCCTCATTCAGACTGGCCTCAACTTCTCAAAAACCAGCCGTTTCTGCTTAGTTGGCCTTGAAAAGCTTGAAAACACGGACGTTTGAGAAGATCCGGCCCTTGTTTGTTTCTCATTGAGACTGGTCTCAAGTTGTCAAAACAGGCCGTTTCTGCTTAATTGCCCTTAACAAGCTTGAAGCACACACGTTTGGAAAAAAAGGTTCAACAATACATCTGGCTCAACCCCCCTCTAATTTTACACTCTTTTAGGAGGCAAGGAAGGCGCCAAAATACGAGGTGCGAGGTGGACCCTTAATTTGCGAGGTAGTATTTTATTACTTTTTTTAATAATTCGAGGTACGAGGTAGAAATTATTATAATTTGTCCAGATAGTTTGTCAAGCCTTCGACCGGCTTCCCTGTCGGTGAGATACTGCGCGCAGTTTGTTTGCATGATTTCTGTGGTTGCATATTTGTTTCAATCTGAACAATCCTTGAACAAACCGTAAAATTCCATATCTGGTTCACTTGGTGCATTGATTCCTGGGCAGCACCTTGAGCAAACCGAGCTGCATCGTGGGCCCGGCCCAGAGGCCTCAACAAGTGAGCTTCAAGGGATGACACAGCGTTGCTCATTTGTTTCTATCAAGCAGCATAGCAGTCTAGTGCTCTTTATCTGGAATTTTGCTGCATCGTGAACTGTTTTTTTGTTTTTTTGTGTTTTTTTTTGTCAGTTGTTGTTGTGTTCCTTTTGTTTTTGCTGTTTTCCAATGCTCCAACTCTGACGAGCATGTAACATGTTCCAAATGGACAGCCCAGAGACACACCGCGTTTTACCAATGTTATCCTACTTTCTTGTTGCCTTTTGCCTCATTCCACTGGAATGCTTTCCTCCAAGCGCAAACAAAAAGCTGTTGTATATTAAGATCTATTGGTGTGATATGGGGGGGTCGATTCTGGAGGCCGACCCGGTGGCTGGAATGGGGTCGGGAAAACCTCTGAAAAGAGCCCATCCGGGAAGTCATTTGGGCCAATTGTTTCTACCCCCCCCCAAATGAGGTGAGGTGCCATGGGCAAAAGCTCTACCTCCCCCCCCTCAATGAGATGCCATGGGCAAGAGTGCCGAGTCCGGCTGTTTGCCAGGCCTTCACGCGGCCCCCGCCTCGGAGATAGCGCGCCACTGCCCTCATGGCCCATGGACGATTTTCGGGGCTGAGTTCGCGCCCGACTTCCCAACCTCCATTGTGATCCGAGGTGTTTAACTCACACTCCGGGGAAAGGCAGATGTAGAATCTGTGATTCGAAAAAACTCACGACCCGAGGCAGAGCGCGGGTCTTTTGGAGCCTGCCCCAAAAATTGGAACATTTGGATCGACCACGAAAACCTGGCGAATGGTCGGAGGGAGCCAAGGAGCTTCGGGTATCCAAATGTTGCCCAGCAGCCTTTCGGAGCCACCGATCGGAGTTCTCCGAGGACGTTCCAGGTGTACCTTCCATTTCCATTCTGAACCCAGGGATCCCAATCTTTTCAGGAAACCATCACACACCCAGGGAAACAGATCCGGTTTTTGAAAAGAACGGTGGTTGAAAAGAACGGGGAATCAACCCCTAGAGACATGGTAAGGGTCCTCCAACGTCTTCCAATTGTGACTCGTTGGGGCGAGGGAGAAGCTTTTGCCTTAGGCGCGGATGCAGCGCATGGCCTCCTGGGAACAAGCACAAGCCTGCGGAGCCGGCGAGACTTGGGTTTTTTCCCCTTTCGTAGTCAGGACGGGCTCTTCAAATTCTGGCGAAAATGGACCTCATGGGGGCTGGGGGGGAGGGAGGGGAGGGAGGGGAGGGGGAGGAGCCCAAATAAGCCCTCAAGCCCTTCAACAGGCCTTATGTCGGAAATATTTGGGCTCCCTCCCCCTCCCCTCCCTCTTTCTCAGCCGCCATGAGGACGCCCAAACAAGGGGTCCGCTGCAGCTTGGATAATGCATGAAACCAGGGGTGAGCTTGAACGTCAAACATGACGCGTCGTTGCGATCTAGATCGAATAAACGTATGGCGTGGCTGCCCAACGGTTGACGCCGCAGATCCCGCAGCTTTGCTGAGGATCTGAGCGGTTCGAGGTGTATCTCCCGAGCTGCGCCAATCCGTTTTTCAGATGGGTCCAACAAGCTCTATAGCACCTGTCGACTTGGTTGAGGGTATGTGGGCTGACCTGTTTGCCAATTCAAGGTCAGCAGGACTGAGGTAAAGCATTTCTTGTTTTTTGGGACAAATCAGCCACAGACAGGGTGGGCAGCAAAAAAAAAAAACGGTGGCCCAAAGGCTGTAAACTTTCCTGACTCAGGCGCTCAATGCGATGAAGAGACTTCAGCTCATAGAACTTGTCATTGTCACTTGCGCGCACGCTGACCTTAGATGTTAGCTTGTCCATCACCAAGCGGAAGCTAAGCGGGTGCCGCTCTTTGGTTCTCTGAATCTTGCTTGCATGTTGCAAGCATAGGTACCTCTATACACGGCCAGTTTGGGTGCAGAATGGCGTCGGTTTCGGTTTTCATAATAGTTGATGGTGAGAAGACAACTAGGATTACAAGTCTTTTGCCTGAGCCCTTTTCATTTGGCTCGAAGCTCATTGCAAACGGTGCCCTCGCGCGCTCCGCGCAGCGATCCGCGCAGCTCGCCATGTGAACGGAATGCAGCGGAACTTCTCCGGAGCATCGCTGACAGAGCCAAAGCAAGAGCATGCGCAACGTTCGCAGCTGCTTGGGCGGCATTGTGAGCCGGCTGGAGGGTCTCGCAGGGCAGGTGGCATGCTTGTTTTTGGGTGATGGTTCAAGGTGTCAGTGATCCCTCAAGGGAAATTGGTGCCATTGGTAGTGCGCTTGGTTCCTTTAACACTTGCTCTGTCCCTCCGACTTTGGGGTCCTAAAAAATGAAGTACTCGGAGTCTGAGAGTAAGTCTTGCAGTGTTAAATTCAAGTGTTGGACCGGCCCTGCAGAGCAAACAATGTACGCCGCCCGGTTCCCACTGAAAGGCAAAAGGTCATGGTTCCCCTCAAATCCCCATACTTCGCTACCCAGTTCGCTCCAGGTTCATAGGACACATACATGGAGCCTTTCATTCCGCCCAGAGGTATTGGGCCCAATGTATGCGCCTTTCACCCAGCCCAGGGAAACGCTACATAAAACCCAGGCCCGACAGCAGAGCCTGAGGTTCTCCCTGCGCCGGCCGCTGGACGCCGTACCTTTCGCGCCAAAGCAGCGTGAGCGGACCCCGTCCGCGAAGCCGTCGAGACAGCCAGCCGATGGAGCTGAACGACGCTCAGCAAACTCACAGCTCTTCAATGCGGCAATTTTGGCAAGTTCCCTTGGGTGATGAAAGGCTTGGGTGCCCGAAAGGTTTTTCCAAATCCGAAAGTTGGCTTTCCGCCCCGAAAAAACTGGGACAGACCGACCCGGATGGGAGAATCACTAAATCGCGACGGGAGCAACGAGCTGGCAGTTGTGCAATTCACTCTGTGGACCTGATGTTTTCAGCTGATTTGCAGATCTGGTCGTTTGGCTGCATGCGTCGTTGCTTGGGTTTGAGAAATTTGTACAGGTTGCAGGCAAGCTCTTGGTCCTTTCGAAATGGCGATTGGCGATGCACGTCAACTTTAGGGAGAGGTCATGTCATTTCTCTCGCTCCATGCTATCCTTCCATTACGTCAGCGGACTCGTTGCAATGCTTGGGACCATTTCTGGGCGTGAAGAGACTTCACATGGGCGTGTGAAAAGGGCCTTGGTCTTCGGCAAGGCGCTGCTTCTTATGAGAGGGTCAAGATCGCAGCTCAGCGAAATACCGGCTGCTCAGCTTGCATGTATTTCACAAAAGGGTTCGTCTTGGGCAGGGAATGTGCTCATGACCTTCTGGTGTGGCTCTGTGTTATGGCACAGTCTAGTTTGCAGCATTTGCCGGTTGCGCAAAAATCAAGTTCCACGTTTGCGACTGTTCTCGTGTCCCAGCTTGAATCAGCTTTTCTCTGAGTTTGTTTGATTTGTGGTCTGGGGCTTAAACCATGCCCTCCCATTCCCGAACCACCAAGAAGTGGGTGCACGCACCCTCATACTTCCCACAACCTCCCCTTCATGCTTAACGGCTCTTGCTGACAAATCGCCATGGGATGATTGAGGGGATAGGTCCTTGAGGCCTTTGTCGGGTACAAATGGTTTTCACTCCCTGAGTTCCAGCTTGTGTGGCCTTGGACATGTTGAGTCGCACACAGTTTGGACTTTTGGCAGATCCACTCAAGTGATACCCTCCCAGCAGAAAAAAAAAGCATGGAGCCTGACGTTCGAAGGCCAGCTCCGACATGCGGAGCGGCTTTCCCAGCGGTCCATGGACTTGAAGGCGCGCCAAAAAATTCCCCATGTGTTTGGCACAGCGATGCAGTGCGAGAGGTAGGAATTGGGATATTTAGGTGTAGATGATACGTATCTTGACGCCGGCATGGTCTTTGCATAGGCCTAAAGGCAGCGGCCATCCCCATAAAGATGCTTGTGGGCGTGTTTTGCGTGTTTTGTGGGCATATGTAGATGCATAGAGAGAGAGAGAGAGAGAGTTGCAAAGTGAGGCCTTTATTGTGGCGGCACCACCTTAGGGCCCATTTAGGGCCCGAAGACTGGCAGGCGTGATGAAAACAAGAATTCAGCTTGGCGAAGCCCTGACGTTGCCCTCATGACGGGTAGAATCAAGATGTGGCCCCAGCGGCCGTACTTTCCCATATGGACAAACGGGGAAGTGTTCCTTTTGGCCGCTTTGAAGACTGGTCACAATGGAGAGGTTGCCCCCGCACTGTGCAGTTTAAGCTTTGATGAGCAGCTATCCTTTCAAGTCGGACTGCTTCCTCAGTCCGAAGTGAATCGACATATTGTGGCGTCTTCTTATTTCATCTTATTTTGGGTTGCCCCTTTGCCAGGCTTGGGCAAGCAAGGCCATATAGCCATTTCCACGGATGGTCTAGCTGGTGTGGCAGGGTCGTTTGCCTGACCACACTCAGACCACCCGCCTTGGTTTATGCTTTGGCCCAGGGCCTTTGCAAGGCGGGGAGTCAAAGGATGTCAAAGTCACAAAGCCATGTTACGGTGAGCCACGGCTTCGACGCCGTGTGGCGAGAGGCATTGCCAATTGTTTGTGTTGTAGATGGATGGCGGCATAAATGCTGTACATGTGGTTACTGAACCCTGCATGCATCATTCAGAGGTGGAAGTTCAATCTAACATACTTAAACTTACTGGCCCAATGGTTGCCCCACAAGTTTACCGACTCGCCTCAACTTCATCAAACAGTTCGTGTTGCAGCCGCAAAATAATGAACAACTAAGCACGCGGCTGTTTGGGCAAAATATTACGTGAAATGCCCACAGTCACAATGTCCAATTCTGTTGCGACAATAAATGCTGCAAAACGCGGATACTAACATGGCAAGGTGACGCCAGGAAGAGGCACAAGCGGCAAGAAGTGCGGCTAATCTCCATTTTTACCAAAAAAGTGAACAAGGCCCAGCCAAAAAAATGCATCAAATGACGTCATTCTGTGGATGGACGAATTTCCGCACCACCTCAAGAACCCCTGGTTTCTGATGATTCCGCTGTAAATGCCAAGCAACGTTATGGTTTCCCACCGTGACTCATTTCGTGGTGCGAGCGGATGTCGCAACCATCCACAGTACCACACGTCGCGCGGAGGCGGAGCTGACAGCGTGTGAGCTCGAGGCCCAGCAGTTGCAGCAGCGAGTGGTGAGGCTGCGCGGAGATGCGAAGCAGACGCATACCCCGCAACACGGGGAGGGGGTTGGCTGGAGGCTGGCGGTGCTTTTACTTGGGTGTTTCAGGTGGTTACTATCCAACACTTATTTGGAAGTGTGCATCTTATGGTTGGAGCGGGCATTCTTGCCAATGCAGGCCGGAGGTTTGAATGTTAGGGGGCTGGCCTTGACGTTGGGTACCCTTTGTCAAGTTGCAAATCCCTCATGTGTTCAAAAAGGTCGTATTAAGACATGTGCAGCTTCTTGTTCGAATGGCAAACCTTAGGACTGAAAGCTTTTGTTGTGAAGTTGTGTTTTTCATGCTTGGGATATTGGGTGGGGGGGGCGGGTAGACGGGCGTCCTGAAAAGTCAGGGGGCTTTTAGAGAGTGCGAAAACGGATTGGGCTCATGACTCAGACCTGGCTCCTGTCGATTCCTTTCGAAACCGGCATTCGGACTCCGCGAAATCCAGCAGCCGCGTGCTGGTTGGTCGTGTTTGAGCGTTTCGGAAAGTGTGACAATGTGATCCCGAGATTCCCACCCCAACTCACCATTGCCTGTGCTGGGGATGGGGAAGACCTCGCGGCAGATGGCCGGGCTCGGCACACTTGTCAGAAGCCAAGGCCGGGCCGCTTTAAAATTGCTGGCCCAAGCCCAGATGTTTCCATGGCTTGGGAGCCATCCACAGCTTTTTGGCTTTTTACAGTTCAGTGGCAGTGTCCATTTGCCCCTACAAGTCGATTTTTTTTCGCAGGGGATCTGAGGGCCCAGTTTCGTGGGGGCATGCGCCCAGGAAGGAGCATCACCGCCTCCGCTGGGCACCTGGGCCTTTGATTTCGGGGTTTGCCGCACACAGACGCCGGGATTTCAGTGGAAGACGGGTTTTTGTCTGAAAGACGCAGACTCTCCCAGCGGTTCACTTGGGCTGTTTTTTGAGCGGAGACCAAGCAGCCGCAATTGCATTGTTGCCCTGCCGGACGATTTTTGGTCAGGGGGTTGCCTGGAATGTCCAACCCGACTCAGCCCTTTTCATCCCAAGGCGCCTAAAGGCTTGGCCCAGCACTGGTTTGGCTATTTGCAGGTGTCTTACCTTTGCCAGCTTGAGGTTTTGCTGGTTTGCTTGAAAGTCATGCCAAGCTCGCTCTTGAAGTGGGGTAAATAGGCCATGAACATTTCCGCCAGCAACAAAAACAAGCAACCTGACACGGTCGTTCAGGCTTGGATGTTGTTGGCTGTTTCTGGGCATTCCTGAGTGCCATCCGTTTGCAAGAGATGCAGGAAGAGACTGCGCAGATTTCTTGCAGCGCGCTGGGTGTGGCTTTTGAGCTGGTCTTTTCCATCCACAAATGTCTTGTGCTTGTCGGCGCCACCGGTTCCGGGGAGCAGCTTCTTGCCACGCATTGCAAAGCTCGGTTGGTTCACTGCTGGATGCAGTGGTTGATTCAGTGAAAACAGCACCCCAAACCAGCATGATACACCCGCAAGATGCAAAGCCCTCTCGGTTCAATGTCCAAGCGGTGCCCAGGAGCCGCATGTCTCGTTGAATTGCTTCGTTGCCAGGAAAAGCAATTCCGAAACCGGGGCGCTCAGTGGCTTGCCTGGAAGATGTTCGCGGAGAAGAGTGCGCAAGAAGCGCTGAACACACGGCGGCTGCTGGGCAAGGCTGGGGTTCGAACAGACCTCGCAAGGCTTGCACAAGGCCAAGCGGAGGGGGGCAAGGCAAAAAAGCCTGTCAACGCACGGGGGGGGGGGTTGTCAAAAAAAATAGGGCCACTTTTTGTTGGTATACTATACGCTCAGGTGACATCCCCAACAGTACGCGGTTCTCTTTTCAGTGCACGCACCACCCCGCAGTTTTCGCAGAACCTCGTGGCCTCGTGGAACCCTGCTGGTGGAACCTTACCTCAGGGCCGGGGCGTCACCACCCCCCATCTGGGCTGAGACACCAAAGCTTTCAGCTGTTGGGCTAGAAAAAAGCAAACCAAACCAACCAACCAACCAACCAAAGAAGCAAGCTGTTGGGTTACAGTTTCACCCAGTGACCCCAAAGCTTTCAGCTGGGTTCAAAAGACGGCAGGCAACGTTTCACCCAGCCGGAAGGCCCCCGAGCCCGCGGAGTCGGCGAAGCTCGAAGCGCAGCTCAGGGAGATGGGGGCACAGCTGCAGGGCGCCAAGGCGGAGTTGGCCCCTCGGCCTTTTGGTCGTTGAAACTCGCTTCCCCCCACGTTTTTTGGGTTTGGGCCATCTCAGTGGAAAATCACTCGCGCAACTTTTTGGTAGGACCTTTCTAGGGGTAAGTAACAAGTTGCTGGACTTTGTCCGGCCGACCCACTGGTTCGGAAGTGAGACAAAGATGGAGAAGAACAAAAGAACCAAGTGCTGAGCCAAGTGGGAAGTGGCCTTCCACTTTCCACTGGGCAACTCGAAGAAATCCTAGATGTCAAGGGGCAAACCAGGTCAGGATGGGTAGTCGACTTGTCGACCGGTCGAAAGGGAACTGCAAAATGTCATGCAGTTGATGGTTCACCCTGAATTTACGAGTTGCGCCCTTGGTTGCTATTGGTTTCGATCTTTAGACTTTAGCTATTTGGTGGAATTCAAGTTGGTTTTTCCCGAAAGCATTGCAAAGGGTTCTTCCGGCAAAATCACCAGCCTTATCACACAGCCAAACTTGCGCGAGCCAACTTGCACGAGCCAACTCGCACGAGATATCACACGGCCAAGCTTGCACGAGACATGTCGACACAAAAGTAACGAGATATCACACAGCCAAACTTGCACGAGACACGTCGACACAGATCTCACACAGCCAAATATTACACAGCCAAACTTGCACGAGACATGCCGACACGAAAGCAACCAGCTAGTCTCTTAAGGCGGCGCGGTGGGACCGACCCCGCCCTGCGAAAATGACACACTCTGCGTGGATTGACGTGGTCGCTGTCCAAAAACTGAGGACTTTTGCGATTTCTGGGGTTCGCGCGGATGGGCGTGGTCGATGTACAAAAACTGGGGACTTTTTACGGTTTCTGACTTGCCCGCGCAACCCTTGGCGGGGATTGGCGTGGTCGACGTGCCCAAACCGAGAACTTTTTACGATTAAAAATCTGAATGCTACTTTTTCAAGTCGGAACGCAGGCTTGAAAGTTTGTCTCTTTTGGGTTGCGCGCCTGCTGCCGGCCCGGGGCCCGAACCCTGCTTGGTCTCCGTGGCCTTTAAGTTACAAAGTCAGCACCTTCGCAGCTCCGGCGGGAAGATCGCAATTGTAAGTACGAAAGTACTTTCGCAGGTCCGGGTCGGCAATTGGGCTCAAACCAACAGGTTGCCATGTTGCGGCCAGCGCTGCGCGCAAAAAACTTGCTCAGAGAACTTGCGCAAAGAAACTTGTCACACGCACGCATGCAGCTTAGCGCTTGCGCATCGCAACTTGCACAGAGCACTTGCGCACGCAGAGCAACTTGCGCGGAACACTTGGGCCCAGCACTTGCGCAGAGCAACACTTGAACAGACCTCGCAACACCGGAGCTTATCAGTCACAGAAGGGCAAACTTCGCAGATATCCGCAGAAGCGGCGATGGCTCACGATGGTACAAATGTGACACGCGATGTTTTCTGCTCGCAGCCACACGCACTGACGAGCTCTCGCGCTCCGGCGGCTGACGCGGTCTGTGCGGAGCCGCGCGCCGCCACATGCGAATGAAAAAAAGGGAAGCAGACATACGTGCATGAACCCAACACTCACTTTCCATTGTGCTTTCGCGCCACCCGTGGTATTTTTTCGAACCCACCAAAGGTTCAAACAACTTCTGGCAGAAATTCCACTTGGTGGACATTGGTGGACATCATCAACTGTTTTTTTCCGCCAAACAAGTTCCACAAAAAAGAAGATTTGCGGAGGGGTCGTTGGTCAACCGCGGCTTCCAGACGCTTTACGGGGAACCCGCCCCCGCGACCCACGACTGCAGGAGGAGGACCAGGCGGAGGCGGCCAAGGTGAAGCGCTCGCTGAAGCGAAGCGAGTCCCAGGCCAAGAAGCAGAGCACCTACCAGCACCACGAGGCACGGGCGTGCTACGCCTGGCCCCTTGTGTCATGCGGATGGATATGGATTTATGTTTGTGTACTGCTGTTGATTTATGAAGAAGGTTGTAAATACGTTCAAGTTTTAGTCATGTATCAATTGTTTAAATAAGAGAGGGCAGTGTCCCCAGCGCGTGTGTTTTTCAATCAAAACCACTGTTTTTTCCAATGTACAAGAATAACAGTAAAAAGGTTTGGAAAACACTTTCTGGGGAAAAGCTTTGGCCAATCAAAGATCTATCATTGGGAAGGCCGTCCACCTCCTATTTATTCTTACGGATGTTGGGGTGTAAGTCTAACTTTGCAGCTTGGGGCGCTGGACGAGAGGCACCAAGGCACAAGATTTGTTCATTAGGCGCATTTGTTGATAGATGGAACAGGTCCCAAACCGGGCGGCAGTTGGGCCAGCAAACAGCTTTAGTTTCAAGGCGGCCCCGAAACACGGGCTCCCAGGGAAGCAGGGTGCAAGGCAGGCCTTTGGACAACTCGCCCTCGTTTGCGGTGTCCTTTGTCAAGCGGGGCTGCTGTTTTGACAGACAGTGGTTCTTCCCTTTCATGGGGAGGCTCTGGCGGACAGGGACCAAGAGCGGATGCCACTGAAACTGTCTCATCCAGTAGGTCAAGGGGCTGCATTGAACGGCTTGACAGTCTGCATCGGCGAAAGGGGTAGTCGGCTTGATCAAAGCCATCCCTTGGTGGTGGCAACGATTGGTTTGGTGGTGGCCTCTTTTTTGAGGGGATGCGAAGAAGCTGTGTCATATGACTCACGGCCAGTACGAAATTTACGAGACAGCTAGGAATCCTATTGGGCGACAATTGCCGGCTGCTGAGCATTGGTTGGGTGACCACTAGTGGGACCAACTGACAGGAACAGGGACAGGATGCCCTTTGATTCAAAAGAGCTGCTGGTAAGTCAGGGGCGCAGTTGCCTGTGTGTCGTCCGAAGCTGCCCCAACCAAATCCTAAAATCAATGGCAAGAGATCATGGCGCAAATCCGTTCTGTCTTCACAGACAGACTCCAAATCGCTTCCAGTGGCTCGCGTGGATTTCTCAGTTTTTTAGTTTTTGACAAGCGCCAAGCAAGTAACAACAAGCACCAAGGCCTTGGTTTCCTTTCTTGCTCTCAGTAATGACCTGTGGTGGTTTCCTTCGTTCTGGGAATTTCTGGGTTCATTCCATGTCTCATTCCCAACCTGGATACGTCAGGCCAAGTCCATGTGGGCCCAAGCGGCCCGCTTGGAGCGGGAGGAGGCGGCATGGGCCACGGAGGAGCTGGCGGAGGCGAAGTTGGAGAAGAAGCTGCGGCTGGAGGTCCAAGCGGCTGGGGGCCCCAGATCGGATCCGGAAGAAACCTTCCAAAACAACGACCCCTCCTTCGGCGGATTTGTTGCATTTAGGTTTCTTTTTGTAAGAGCCCACATGCACATTGGAAGGGACTCCCGCCCTACAGCTTATCCGTTGCAATTTGGGACAGCTTCTTTGCTTCTGGTTCATTGTCTGCTGAGATCATCTAAGAGTCCTCAGGACTTTGGGGAGTTGTCATTCGGGGTCTGCTTCGGCTCCTGCGTGGGAATCCGGGCACTTGGAACGCAGGAAATCATTTCCAGTCCCAGATTCGGAAAACGGAGAAAATGGCTCCCGATCAGCAGATTGCAAGGGGGCGGTGAAGCTTTTAGTGGGGATTCAGACCACTTTGGGAAAACGCACGTCCTAGCTTTCTTGATTGCGGGGGCCTTTGGGTTGTGAATGGAAGTGGGGGGGAGGGGTGACCCAGTTTTGAATTCCAGTTTCATTTTTCCCTGGACTGGAATGGAATTGCTGGACCCACTTGTGTCACTTTGCCTCTTTCAAGGTTCAAGATCAAGTAACGGTACACAAGGCCGGCTTCCCATCGAAGACTGAGTGGTTTGAACCCATGGAAACGTCGAGAGCAATTGGGGGCCCGACGTTTGTCGAATGCAAGAAGATTGGGCAGATGTCCTCCCAGGTCGGCTTGGTGGGAAGATGGATTCCACCAGTCTCAGTCTTGTTCCTGCGGTTTGGTTTTAAAACAAAGAGACCCCAACCAAAAGCTGTGTTCTACAGAAACCTTATCTTCCATTGCAATGTGTTTCCCAAAAGGGTTTCCGTTTTGCTGGGGAACTGGGGAATTGAACGGACTATGGATATTCAATGAATGGGTTCAGACGAGTGCCTGTGACAGATTCCCATGCAGAAACCAAATCAGATCCCCAAAGTCGTGAAGACTAGTGGATTATCTCAGCAGACACCAAAAACCAGAAGCAAAGAAGCTGGAAAGCAGCTAAGCTGCAGGGTGTTGGTCCCTTCCAATGTGCATGTGGGCTGTTACAAAAAGAAATCGGGACCCTCCAGGTCGCTCCAGCATGAAGTGGGGTATTCAGCTACCATTTTGGAGGAGTTCCCTCTCAAAGGTTCTAGCCACAATTGAAGCAACAAGAAAGCTGAAAACGGAGAAAACACAAAAGCGGCTTGCGCGTGCACCGTGTTTGCCGCTTTCGCCGTGCTGTTTTGCCGTCTTAAGTTTGAGACAGTTTGTACCGTCGCGCGCATGTTGTCGGCTGCGTGCGATGTGCGTGTCATGGGCGGCGCGGAGGGCGCTGTGGCTGCGCTGCTCTATCTGCCGTGCGCGCACGCAATGTCCGGGCGTGGGAGGTTCGCGTTCAGTGGATTGCGAGTCAACACGCGCGGCGATGTCGTGCTTGCTTGCGGGCACTCACCAAGCCGGCAGTTCCTGAGCTTGACTCGCCAGCATTTTTGGCACCTCGGTGGAAGGCCGCCGCGTGAGAGAGTTGGGCGATCGACGTGACAGTGCAAAAGGGAGCGAGAGGCTGCGCACGCGAGGCGCGTCGGTCACTGAGGCAGCCACGTTTGCTGAGCGCTGGGTCTTGCTATCTAGTGGAAATTCTTTTTCACAGTTCTCCTCATGCTATAGCTGCGTCTACAGGGGGCGCGAAGGGGGCTGGCTGGAGCTGGTGAGAAGGGGACCGCTTTGTTGAAGCTGACGACTTGTCAAGACTAGAGTTTGTGAACAGGCCGGGGTGCCGTTTTGTTACTGACGGAACGTGTCAAAAACTCGGGTGAAAAGGAGGAGGCTGAGGGGAGCGTTCTCTGGCGCGATTTGCTGCTTGCGTTCTCTTGTGCTACTCGTTCTGGTTTCTCTTACTCTGCAAGCGCTCGTGCGCACCTTTCTCTGCGTGTGCGCTCTACACGTGCTCTCGTGTCTCTTGCTTTGCGCGTGCTCTCGTGCATCCTGCGCTGGCTGCTGCACATCTTGCTGCGCAGGTGCTCTCGTGCGTCCTGCCCTGTCTTGCCCTACGCGTCCACGTAGCTTACTGCGTGCCAAGGCGAACGACTGTTCTCTTGCGCAACTTGCTCTACGCATGCTCTCGTGCCTCTTGCTCTGCACGCGCTCTCGTGCTTCTTGCTCTGCATGTGCTCTCGCGAATCTTACTCTGCATGCGCGCTCAACATGTGCTCTCGTCGTGTCTCTTGCTCTGCACCTGTGCTCCCGTGCATTCGAGCTTTCGTGGTTATAAGTACGCGAGTAGTTGTATATGCAGGGCAGAGCTTTGGCTTTGCACACTTTTTAGAATCGTGCCCGAGTTGCGGAAAATTGCGCCCGAGTAGCGGGACGTTGCGCTCGAGTTACAAAAGGTAGTTCATGTGGGGGGTTGAGCCTAGAAAGGCAATTATTTTTTTAATGTACGACGTGTACTTTTAATCTCTTGAACATGTCCGGATAAAAGAGAGCTCCGCGTGGCTAAGGAGCGCTCCAGGACCGAGGGCTGCGTGTGGCGTGTGGCAAACGCGCGGCTGCGCGCGGCGGACGAGGCGGTGGACTGGGCCGTGCTCGAGGTGCAGCAGCTGCAGCGGGGCTCGCAGGCGCGCAAGCAGCAGTTGGAGCAGGACTGCTTGGAAGCTGCGGTTGTTTTGCTTGGTACCCATTTTTGGTTGTCCCTTGGGTGGAAACAAAGACAAACCAACCGTTCTCCCATTTTTAGGGGTCTCTTGGGTGGAAACAAAGACCACAACCTGCATAACCCCAGCTCTTTAACTGTTTTTCTGTTGACCCCAGATTGACCAACCAACCAGTTTGTGAATAGGGGATCAAAGTAGGATTCAGAAACTTTCCCGGATTCAGACACTAGGGTTCAGAAACTACCAGAGTCGGATTCACAAACTCCCATAGTCGGATGCCAACCGGTAAGAACACCCGCTCACGTGCGCCCGCTCAGCACTGCGCACATGCCATTCCAAATGACCCACTCAGCACTGCGCACATGCCTGCCAATTGGTAAGAACACCCGCTCACGTGCGCCCGCTCAGCACTGCACACATGCCTGCCAATTGGTAAGAACACCACACATGCCTGCCAATTGGTAAGAACACGCGCTCACGCTCAGCACTGCACGCATGCCTGCCAATTAGAACACCCGCTCACATGCACCCGCTCAGCACTGCGCACATGCCTATCAAATGGTAAGAGCGCCCGTTCACTTGCACCCGCTCAGCGTTGCGCGCATGCCTGCCAATTGGTAAGAACACCTGCTCACATGCGCCCGCTCAGCACTGCGCGCATGCCTACCAGATGGTAAGGACACGCGCTCGCGCACACCCACACATGCCTGCCAAATGGTAAGAAGACGCGCCCACGTGCACTCGCTCAGCACTGCGCGCGTGCCTGCCAAGAACACCCGCTGACGTGCACCTTCTCAGCACTGCGCACATGCCTATCAAATGGCGGCTGCGCGTGAGCGCGTATCTTGCCAATTGGCAGGCATGCGCGCAGTGCTGAGCGGGTGCACGTGGACGCGTGCCCTTACCAATGCAGGCATGTGTGCAGCGCCGAGCGGGTGCACGTGAGCGGGTGTTCTTACCAATTGCCAGGCTTGGGTGTTCTTACCAATTGGCAGGCATGGTTCAAACCAATTGGCAGGCATGCGTGCAGTGCTGCGCGGGCGCACGTGAGCGGGTGTTCTTACCATTTGATTGGCAGGCATGTGCAGTGCTGAGCGGGTGCACGTGAGCGGGTGTTCTTACCATTTGGCAGGCATGTGTGCAACGCTGAGCGGGTGCACGTGAGCGCGTGTTCTTACCAATTCGCTGGCATGTGTGGTGTTCTTACCAATTGGCAGGCATGTGTGCAGTGCTGAGCGGGTGCACGTGAGCGGGTGTTCTTACCATTTGGTAGGCATGCGCGCAATGCTGAGCAGGCACGTGAGCGGGTGTTCTTACAAATTGGCAGGCATGTGCGCAGTGCTGAGCGGGTGCACGTGAGCGGGTGTTCTGACCATTTGGTTGGCATGTGCGCAGTGCTGAGCGGGGGCACGTGAACGGGTGTTCTTACCGGTTGGCACACATGTGTGCAGTGCTGAGCGGGTGCGCGTGAGCGGGTGCTCTTCAGCGCCGCACACATGCCTGCCGATCGGTATGTGCACGCGCTCACGTGCATCCGCGCAGCACTGCACACATGCGCACCAATTGGTAAGAACACCCGCTCGCGTGCGCCCGCTCAGCACTGCGCCCATGCCGTGCACCCTCTCAGCACTTCACACATGCCTGCCAAAGCACCTGCTCAAGAGCACAACGTTCTTCGACTAATCAACTGTTCAATTTTCACGTAATTTCTCCAGTTTCGCAACACCAGGTTTCCGAATACTGGCTGGTAGTTTCGGAATACCATTTTCCGAATACTAGTTTCCGAATACAACGTTTCCGAGTTTCCGAATACTAGTTTCCGAATACAACGTTTTAGTTTGTGCATAGGGGCCTCTCCAAAAATGGCTTGATTCCCCACTAAACCCCGATTGTTTGAGGGGCATCCATTTACTGAAATGAAAATGTTTGTTTTTCTGCCTAACGGTGAACTTGTAGGGAGCGGGAAGTCCTGCAAGAGCTGTTTGATTGTCCTGTCTTCGCCAATTTGGGGGATCCCTTAAAGATTCTCGGGACAAACCCATGCCCAACGCGCCACTCGCCAGGACCACGAGGATGAGATGAAGGTGTTGGAACTTGAGTGCCGGCAGGCGGAGGCCTGTCCCTGGAAACCCACCAAAAGGGTGCCCATGAACACTGGCGACCTAGCCACTCGTGAATTTGGATGTGTTGGGAAGTTGCCAGGTATGTCCAACTCCACGTTTGAAGTGACTTGGTGTAAATCTTGGCATGGGATTGGCAAGCCTTCGAAGCAAAGAAACACCAAGGTGTTGGATGCGCACAAGCCATCGGCTTGAGTTGTGCTGGTTACTCAACCCACATACCTTAACCCAGGGACCCAAGATTCAAAAGGTTGGAGCAAGGGCATTGGAGTTGACACCAGTCAAATCTGGCAAACACAATTTAGAGGACCATATAAATCAGAGCGCCTAAGGTGAGCCAGTTACTAGTTCCGCGCCAAGTGGAAGCCCCTTGTAACGCCCTCGGGGAAGAGAAGGCAGCTGACACGTAGCTTATCCAAGGTTTTCTTCCTAGCTGTGTATCTGCAGGCGGCGCTTGAAGCACGCCATGCGAGTCTTGGCGGCATGAATCAAGTGTGCGGGTTTGTTCAGTTCTGCTCTTGTTGCGCGGTCAATTGGGTTCAATGGGCTCAAATGCTCTTTTGGACCTCGCATCAGCTCATACCAAAGCACCCTTAACCTGAATGCATAACAGCTTTCCACGCGTGTATTTTCAGCGGAGTCCATTGGTGCATGCACAGGGCTGCTTGAACCATACCATGGAGAATATAACCTTCAGCGCACTTGGCGACCTTTGTTGATACAAAAAAGGAAGAGTCTGAGACAAGCCATGCAGATGCCAGGAACTCTGAGGACGCCACATCTGCCTCAGCCAGCGCAGAGCAGAGGTGCATCCCTCCGACCGCCAGTGCCAACAAGGGTCGGAGCCCACCTGCCTCACCCAAAGCTAGTCCTAACGAGGGTAGTCCCAACGAGGGTCGGAGCGCACCTGCCTCACCCAGCGCAGAGCAGAGGTCCACCCCTCCCAAAGCTAGTCAAAACGAGGGTAGTCCCAACGAGGCTCAAAGCCCACTTGCCTCACCCAGCGCAGAGCAGAGGTCCATCCCTCCAAGCGCCAGTGCCAACAAGGGTCGGAGCCCACCTGCCTCACCCAGTGCAGAGCAGAGGTCCATCCCTCTGAGCGCCAGTGCCAACGAGGGTCGGAGCTCATTTGCCTCACCCAGAGCAGAGCAAAGGTCCATCCCTCCGAGCGCCAGTGCCGACGAGGGTCGGAGCCCACCTGCCTCACCCAGCGCAGAGCAAAGGTCCATCCCTCCAAGCGCCAGTCCCAACGAGGGTCGGAGCCCACCTGCCTCACCCAGCGCAGAGCCGAGGTCCATCCCTCCGAGCGCCAGTGCCAACGAGGGTCGGAGCCCACCTGCCTCACCCAGCGCAGAGCCGAGGTCCATCCCTCCAAGCGCCAGTCCCAACGAGGGTCGGAGCCCACCTGCCTCACCCAGCGCAGAGCCGAGGTCCATCCCTCCGAGCGCCAGTGCCAACGAGGGTCGGAGCCCACCTGCCTCACCCAGCGCAGAGCCGAGGTCCATCCCTCCGAGCGCCAGTCCCAACGAGGGTCGGAGCCCACCTGCCTCACCCAGCGCAGAGCAGAGGTCCATCCCTCCGAGCGCCAGTGCCAACGAGGGTCGGAGCCCACCTGCCTCACCCAGCGCAGAGCAGAGGTCCATCCCTCCGAGCGCCAGTGCCAACGAGGGTCGGAGCCCACCTGCCTCACCCAGCGCAGAGCCGAGGTCCATCCCTCCGAGCGCCAGTGCCAACGAGGGTCGGAGCCCACCTGCCTCATCCAGCGCAGAGCAGAGGTCCATCCCTCCGAGCGCCAGTCCCAAAGAGGGTTGGAGCATTGCCACACCGCGTGACCAGGGCAGCCAAAGCAGGAGCGCAAGCCGCGAGCTAAGCCACTCGCGCAGCCAATCGCCAAGCGCCTCACCACTTCCTGACATGAGCCCCACCAGGTCCCTCAGTGAGGGATCTCATCAAGAAGGGCCACCCTCAGAGGTGCCCAGCCTGTAGCCGTTTTTTTCCATTTGCCACACCCATCTTTTTTCTAAAAGGTCACCTATGCTCATGATTCTCCCTGACATCGATGATTGAACAAGCTGTGGGCTGACCCACCCAGCGGCCGCGTTGGGCTTTTCAAGTTTCACCCTGCAGCTTTGAGCTGGAGTGCGCAACGTGGACCCGACACGTGCTGCACACATAGTGTCCGTACCCAGGCTTGTCTAGCCAAGCCTGCTGATTTTGGTTGGGCGATGCCCACGTCTGCTTCAGCGTGACTGACTTTGTGGAAGAATAACCAGTGGCAAGGGACTTGCACCGAAAGGCGCATCACGCTGCGCAGAGGTTGAACACACAAAAACCATGTATGACACTTTACCACATGCCGCATTTCGATGTCGACATGCAATGCGTCAGATTGTTAGCATTGATTCGTCAGTTGATCTCAATAGGGAGCAGGGAGTCAAGGATCCGTTGAGAAGAACTGGCGCTTCTTGCGTGCTGTGGACCATCAACTCTATTCGATCATTTCGTGAAACAGCTTTCCAAACAACCCCTGTCCGCTTGTTTGCCTTTGTTGGCTTAGTGCACAAACGTCCCAAGCCGAAAACGCACCCCACTTACCTCAAGAGAACAGAAAATAAGAACACTACAGTTGCAGGTGTTGTGTATCACACGCGCCTTTCAGATTGTAAGCACTCCCCCCAAGTGTGTTTACGGATTTTCTTTTGGGCGTTTCTCAAAGCAGGGGCGGAAATGGTGTGTTTCCTTGTGGCTTCCCCTTCGCCAGCCAAGGAGCCCGTTTTGAGAACACCCCGCCCTCACCGTCGAGTCCCCGTCAGAATTCCTGCCTGCTGTGAAGCCTTATGATACTGGGAAGACTCAGAATCTCCACAAAGGGCTTTGCGTGCGAGCTGCCCCCATGCCACCATTTTCCAAGCCCCAAACCGCGCGTGAGCCCAGCATCCGCCAGGGGGTCGTGCTGCCATGGCTGCAGAGGAGGCGTTGCAGGAGAATTCGGGTGACGAATTCCAGTTCAAATCCCTACCGGGGTCGAAGAAGGAAACTTGGAGTTGCCCTGCGGGTTGACAAAACCCATATTCGGAGAGAGAGACATTTGCTTGTTGGGGACCCCCTTTTGGTCAGGGAAATGTAAATCCCAATCACGTTGGTAGCCTGGGTGCTAAGTTGATTCCAGAATTGTTATATAGGTTACCTTCCAAATTGTTAGTTTACCCAAAGGGAAGCCAAAAGGGGATGGGGATGTTTTTGTCTTGGAAATAACCCCCGGAGAAAGCACCCAGTCCAGAACGTGATGCGATTCTCAACATGAGGGACTCTCGACAGCAACGGATGATGTTTGCAGGACACTCTCCTGGTTAATGAATGGACTTCGAGTTGAGGGAGACCCCAGATTCACAAAATGGAAGGGCTCCTTGAAAATACGCCCTTTGTCAATCAATCCAGGATTAATGAATCCTGGTTCCCCTGATTCACGTTTGGTTTTTCTTCTGGTCCGAATCGTGGCTTTCAACGTTACTTTTTCTTTAGGAGCTGCTATTTTTCTGCCGAATAGTTTTAATGGATAAAATTGTGTTGGTGCTAAGAACTAATTACTGTCCTCCTCATGTATACTCTCTCTTTGTCATTGTATTGTAATAGTTATTGCTAATATAAATGCCTTTTGCCCAATGCATTTCAATTGATCTTCTGCCAAGAAGAAGCCCATGCTTGCCAGATCATGTTCATTCCTGGAATTGCCTGTCATCTATTCAGGATTAACTTTCCTATTTGTTTCATTCCTCTTTTATTCCAGTACTGATTGTAAACTTTAGAATCATGAAATTGTCCTTTACAACATTAGTATTGGTATTATGTAGAAATGTTATGGTTATTTATCATTCTAGCACTTTATTGTGTTATTTCTTTGCAGTTCTTGATGGCACGTTTATTGCGGCCGTAAGCTGAGGAATGTATGGGGCTAGTTCTTCCTTGATTCCCCCCTTTTGTGGGTTCGTGGGGTGGTGACAGCCACCAAGACAAACAAAGAGGATACCTGACGTGAGGAGCCAAATGCGTTTGGCTGTGTTTGAACCCTGGCTGCCAGCGAATGTGCCATTCCCCCTCCAATTGAATTGGTGTTCAAAGCAATCATGGGGCCGCAAGCGAAGTCGCAAGGCCATGTCAAGTTGCCGAAGTGCCTGGCGCTATGGTTTGACGATTTTAGGGGCAAAGCGGGTTGCCGGGGTCGGCCCGCTGCCCGCTGGCACCGCAGGAAGTCTTGGACCAGAGTCGGTTGGCGCATCTTTTGTCAGAGCCTGCGGCCCAGCGAATCAAGAGATAGATCCAAAAGTGAGATGGAGAATCTGGTGGGTTGGTTGTTGTTTTTTTTGGGGGGGAGGTGCTGCACGTAGTGCGTATTACAGCAGCAGCAACAGCAACAGCAACAGCAACAGCAACAGTGACAACTCCGAGTCAGCACAATGAACGATCCTCACATCAAAGGCTACTCATGGAACCGGCAGCTCTGTGTTTCAACCTTGCTTTCAGGCAGGTTTGCCGCTTACACGACGCGCAAGCGCTGTAATTGCTCAGTTGTTTTGTAGTACGCTGTTTGGTGGCGCCGGACTGTTTGCTGAAGCAAGCGGTTGGGGCGAGGATTGGGGCAAGGTTTATTGCTTAAGGCACCCTCTGAAGACAAGTGACATGAGCAACCTGCCAAGTTTTCAGAACACTTCTTCCGCATGTTCAACCTTTGTCATGTTAGGTGCACTTGGGACAGCTGTCTGTAGAAGCCGTTTGGGGCAGCCTTGGGGCCGTCAGTGCGATCAAGAGGCGGCACCGTGCGGGCAAAACACTTGCCAACATGGATGCCAGGATAACTAGAACGCAGGTTAGAAGCATGGCTCACTGCAGTTAGCTCCCTTGTAAGCAGAGTGAGCTAACTTCCCTGACGTGGATTGAACATCCAAGCACCCGCGTCACGGCTCAAGACATAGCTCTTTTGTGCGAACAGCGTTGACAGCGTTGGGTTCAGCTGCTTGGCGGCATGTCCGGGCTCGAGTCTCGTCTCCGGGAAGACAGGCAGTGGAATGGATGTGTTGCTTGGGGTTGCATAGTAGGTGAACGATGCGAATGCATACCTCTTGCTCCCCACCGGCCACCAAGTGTTGCCCCATGCCCTTTTGTGCCTTCCGGATGTGTTGAAGAATTCAATTTAATAGATACCTGGGCTGCAGGGTTTCCGAACCATTTCCCTTTGTGGAACCCCTAAAAGTGGCGATCGTTTCCATGGACACCGGTTTCTTGCAACAGAACAAATCCAGTGACCTCTAACTGGTGTCGCACGTTGCACCTTGAAGCGAAAAGGACGGCCTCTAGGGAAGGTGTTAATTGGGTGCTTAGGGTAACCCTAGCAGGGGTTCGTCCATCCCAACTGGTGAGAGTGGAATTTGTCCACAGCATGAGATTTGTATTGCAGACAGTGTGCCATTCGCTGCAGTTGCTTGTTTGGAGCTGGCATTCGTTTGTACATCGAGGAGAGCGTCCTGGTGCAGGAATCATGTTGGGAAATGCCTTACTCAAGACTACACTTGGATGCCCCAGCTGTGGTTGGGCTGGGCGACCTGTTTGGCAAGCTTATGTGTAAAAGAACGGCGCACATGTGCCCAATCCGCTTTATCGGCATTGAAGATGTTGCCTTCACTTCCGCCAATGTCCCAGCCCTCGCTTCGCTGTGAAGTCTGAGCTTCTACTGCAGCGCAGTTTTACGGGGCTCAAATGGCTTGCAAGGACGCGCAAGGGTTTTGTTTCCGGAGTTCTGTGAAAGGTTCAGTACCGAGGCATGGCCCTGCTTCGCCTGGCCTTGCTGGTGCCACTTGTAGGCAGGTTGGGGGCTAGCGGTTTTCTGAGAGAGAAAGCACAAGGTTCAGAAAGCCTAGGCTGGAGGCGTCAACCAGCTTGAGGCTAGGCTCAAGCGAGTTCGCAGCTTCCTGCGATCGATGTTGCACGGTTTTGGGTCGGGTAGGTGTGGGTAAGTTGCAGCTTGATTTATGAAGGTCTGGAGATTTTGTTTTGGGATATGTGGCACTTTGCCAGCTACAGGAGGTCAACATCAAGATCAAGTGGCTCAAATTAAGGTCTTGGAAAAGAAGAGGGGGTGGCATTGCGGATATTGCGGTGCGACGTTTGTTATGTATAAAGGGAATGAGCCTGTACAGGACACATGAGGTATGCTCTAGCGAGTTTCTTTGTCACAGGCCCACTTGTGTAAGGACCATCACAAATATTGAGGACCAAAACATGTCGCAAGACAGTTCTCACGGGGTTGTGTTGCTGTGTGGTTTTGTGCTTCCCTTGCCAAATAGATTCGGCTGTCCCAGGAAAGAAGCTGTAGCACACAAACTCAGACCTGAATTTCAATCCCATCGAAGTTGAGTTCCAAAGTGGATAACAGCTGTATACTGTCAATGTTCACATGCCCAGGGCTAACCTTTTGACCCGTTATTTTTGGTCCATTCTTAGCGATGGCCCCAAAAGGTTAACCTTGTATGTCAGGTCCTTTGGGCAGAGAATACTCAGGGAAATGTGCCGTTGAACGTGCTCGTTAGCTTCGCAGGAGCGGAGCTGACTGGAACTCTCCAAGCGGATGACGAGTGCGTTGGCTCCTGCGCAGTGCGGCCTGGCACAAGCTGATTTCAGATTGCTAGTGCAAAAGCAGGTTTGTTTCGACATGGGTCTGTCGTGTTTGTAGGGGATCCACCATTCTGTGGGTGGTTCCTTGTGGTTTCCCTTTAACACCCACCAAAAGAAGGGGTACCCTCAACGTTAATGGTTTACTAGGGGTTCAAGGAGCTAGGGGTATCCAAATTTGCCTTTAAAGAGGGAGCTAAGGAGCTACGGGCTTAAGCAGTGCTTCCCCTATGTCCTCAGCCAACCCCTTTTTGACTGAAATGAGCCATAGAGATTACTGGCCGGAGCTCAGGAATGCGCTGCAGCGACAGGCAAGGACAAAGATCACAGAGCAGGTGCGCTGGGGAACGAACGGACGGGTTTCTCAACGAGGCCGTGGTTTTGCAGAACGTGCCCCATGCTTTTTGCACATTCCCAAACGCACACTTGCACTTTGCTGGCCTCTCCACACCCCTGCAAATCTGCCGAGGACAGTCTAGGTAGCACGTTTGGGGGTTCCATTGACTGACCACTGCATTAGATGATTGACATGAGGCAGCAGCACTCTGCCTGCTGGTCGAGAGAAAAATCTCAAGAGTAGTGCTTGCGTGTTATTTCTCAGTCCCTTCCAAGCGCGTAGTGAAACCTGCGATATACATCGTTTGGCCCCAGGCAAACGAGAGCCAGAACGGTGCCTTAAGTTAGCTGTATGTTCGCCCCAAAGAGGTACTTCATGAGACGCACCAAAGACCTCTATCCCCAACGCAAAAAATCCGTGGCCTGCACTGCAGAAACCCGGAGTAATTCTCATGCAAAACGATAAACTCTCGGGAGTCGGCGAACAGCATCACTAGAGCTGCATGTTCGATTTTGAGTTTCAGCCGCGGAAGTGAACTTCGCGTACCACGCTTGTATAACAAAAAAGTTACGCTTTTCGAGCTGGACGGGCGGAAGAATGTAATTTCTTCGCGCGCTACACACTGAAGAAATTTCGATGTGCGAGCTGGAGCTGCGCAAGTGCACTTCGCGCGCGCTACAAAGTTGCGATGTTCGAGCAAAAGCTGCGAATGTGTACTTCGCTTGCTACACGTGCAGTGCAGAGTTGCGATTTTCGAGCTGGAGCTGCGGAAGTGTACTTCGCATGGGAAGTGCATTTCCGCGCTACACTTGTACTACAAAGAGGTAATTTTCGAGCTGGAGCTGCGTGGGGCTGCGTAAGCGTACTTCACATACTACACTTGCACAACAAAGTTGCATGGCAAAATAGTCAGGAAGAACGACGACGTTTGGAGAAGTCCCCAAATGATGATGGTTCTGGGTGCCTTCAAGAATGGGATGGTTGTGTGTGTATGCTTGTGGCCTAGCTCAACACGCAAGAGTAGTGTTTCTGGTGAGTCAGAAACTGGTCGTATGACGCACAGGCATGCAATCCGCATATCATGAATAAACACTCCTTGCTTTGCCGGTTGCCGCTGATGTTTGGCCTATTCTGACTCCAACCTGAGAGGGTAACCAGTCGTGTTCCTCGCATTTTCCGGCTAGGAGGATGACTGGGCAGTAGATGTGGACTTTGGCTTTGATGCCGAGAACTTCTTGACCGAGGCGGACGGCAAGGAGCAGCTTGGAGCGGACGTTGAGCGAGTGGACCAAATTATGATGATCGGTTGTCACAGAAGTGTGGGTGAATGACATTTCGCGCGCAGCAGCTGTCCTTCTGTCATTCGAGCGCTGTCTACAGAGAGGCCAACACAACAGATAAGTAAGACAGCATGTTTCTTCTCGGGGCCCCGGAGTCGCAATTGTGCCTTGCTAGAGTTCTGACACCGCTATCACAGACCGTTGTTCTCGGCTGGCCGTTCTCAGACTTAACTCACAGCCCGCGCAGTGAGACAGACAAAGTCTGGCCAAAAACAACTTGCAAGATCATTGCTCGCCAGGCTTGGCACGATAAGTCATTCAGCTCTTACCTAAACCTGCCAAGCTTCCTTCACACGGAAAGCGCCTCCCTCTCTGGAGCTACGCCATTTTGTGGGCCTCCCATCCCGGAGCTTTGCCAACATTGACAGCTCAATCAACAATGTGAGCACTGCGTTGAAATGTTGAGGACGTCGTGTTAATACATCAAGCTGCCCTCAGGCCCCCTATTCACCGATATGAAGAGGCGGAGCTTTCCGCCAAGCGCCAAGCTTTCATCAGTTGCCTCCCTATACGGTTGATGTTCATATCCCTTCGGCCAAAACCTAGCACGTCCCTTTTCAGTGGAGGTTGCTTGATGTGGGTTGCACCAATAGCACCATGAGGGTCGCTTCAGCCATTTTCCGACAGCATGTCCTAAGCTAAGCAAACCCATGCATAGGGTTCAGGAGCTTCCGGCTTTCCACGGTCGTCCAAATGAACTCCGTGCTTTGGGCGCAAAACAAGCATCCAGACCAGTTCAAGTCAAGTTTTTGCATGTTGCGATGAACACATCGAAAGAGTTTGACGTCCGCAATTGACACTGTTCCAATTTATTGATTGGCACTTTGTGATTTGAATTTGGGCGTACAGATTACCCACCCACCAAATGAACATGGAACCTGTCAGGGGGTTCCTTTAGAAGGACCAGGACTTTCCGGTCAGATTCCATGTTAATTGGTGGGAGGGTAGTGAAACTAGAAGGGGTTGGATGATATCTTCATTGTTCTTTGTGCGCGACGTCCATGGGGACTCAGCCGCTGGTAGGTATAACATCTCCGTAGGAGACCTGGGCAGCTTGGCGCGGCACTGGCACCCCTGAGACTGAGAAGTGCACCCCCGGAAGGAGCAAAGGAAGAAATGCGACAGATGCCCCGCAAAAACATATGCCGTGATAGATGTGTGTCTTGGTTTTGTTGGGAGGGAAATGTTAACCGTTACGCTGTGAGCTAAAGGCGAGTTGCTCCCTGCTTTTTCCAAGAAATGACGCGCGAATGGGAATCTGAATCAGCTTGCCTGTTTCTAAGCGGTGGAAGACATGACCTGGCAGGCAGAGGGCTGCTTGAAGCCCAAAAGCAAGAATAACATTTCCACATTGACCAGCCGGGTCTTTGCGATTCTGTGTGCGGGAGCCACTGAATGAAGCCAGCGCCAGTACAAAGAGCTATTGAGGCTTGTAGCCAAGCAAACGTCGTTCCAGTTCTCATGGCAGAAGATACAGCAAATATGCGACCGATGGTGCAAAGACGGAACATGATACGTGAGCTTGAAACAAAGGTCTAGTTGGCTTGGCTTCCAACGGGCGGGTAGGTTGCAGATTCAGGCCAAAGGGTGCATAAAGCTCCACAAGGTTTGGACAAGCGTCCAAAACCGATATTCGGCCCTTCTAATGAACTGGAAACAGGAACCTGGAGACCCTCTTCAGTTCTTGCCTTCTTGGCCCCCCCTCTGGCTTCTGGGCAATAGGGCTTTAATGGCCTCTGCATTTTTTGTGCTGCGCCCAAAAGGGTTTTGATTAATCTTTGGGGGGGTCCTGTTAATGAGGGGGGCCGCCTTTGAGGGGGAATCCCCCTTGTGAGCTTTAACACCTTGCCATTTTAAGCAAACTTGAGTAAGACAAAGGCACTTTGCGCATTTTTGGGGAAAATTTGAGGCGTTTGATAGTGGCAGAGTATTGGTGGTTTAAGCACAGATGCTAAGCAAAAAGGAACGTCGGCTGCAGGGGGGTACTTTTAACACAGCTGGTTTTGGGGAGGGCCAATTTTTGTTTGGTATGGTTTTTGGGCAAGCCTTGTTGGCCCTTTACTTTAGTATTGGTGGCTGGGAGGGAAAAAAGCGAACCTTCAATTGTTCTTTTTTCTTCGTTAGACACTCTACGGCCCAAGCAAACAGCGATGTTCAATATATGTCTGGACTTTCTCCAAGTAAAACGAATGCAAGTCCTGAATGCATGACAGTTGGAGCATATAGCTACTTCAGGAGGCTTGCGACCTCTCTGATGGGACCAGTGTTCAACCACTCTCTGAGCTGGACTTTGGGGACTTTTTTAATCAGGGACCCATCCACAGTGAAATCAAGCTTCGCGCGGATTAGTTCGCTCCGCAGGCACGGACGAGCTGAAGCGCCTGGTGTCGATGGCCACCCAGGAGCTAAACGGCAGAGAAGCAGGACACGCCGAAGCGCCGGAATGGTTGGAGTTTCTGAAAATGGGATTCGGACGTATTTTGCACGTAAAGTTGTCGGGCAAAAGGAAGCCAAGTGTAGGAGGCTATTGTGAAACATACTCATGGGAGGAAGCCAATTGATGAATAGCTCACAGAGTCGCGGCTTTGCTTGCGGGCCCTTGTGTTCAACCTCATTTCCGGCCGAACGCTTGGGGTGATCAAAGACATGGAAAGGTCTTAAAGAACTGCTGACTTTTGATGGGCGCCAAGAACTAACATTCGATGAACCCATGCCACAACTACATACGACAGCAGCTTGACCAGGTGCTAATCTTGTCGCGTCACAGACCTCACAAGCCTAAATCAGGGACAGACAACTTACTGAACCGTCCCCGTTTCAAGCCAAGCCCCCCTTATTCTTGAGTGAAGCTTTCATGTGAGGCTTGTTTCTGGGCAGCCGCATCCGGACGTCCGCCAGAAAGCCACGAGAACGCATCGGAGACGTTGGGCGCAAGCCCGGAGGAGGCCATGCTGGGCTCCGCGAATGTGCCTCGGCCGCGTCTAATCGGCTGGGTCCGATTGAAACCTGGCTCTCCCTTGGGTCCCCGAAGAAACGCGAAGAATGCCTGGAGCCACAGAAAGGCTTGGCGTGGGTGCGGTTGCTTAGTCTTACATGTGCACTTGCTTGCACTTCCATATTCTATGATGTGGTTTTCTCGGTTAGCGGGGCTGAGTGGCGTTCTAGCATTGCGAAGGTGACAGGAAGAGTTGCCTTTATGCAACTGCACGGCTGTCACACCAGCGATCAATGGGCTCATAGATTTTGAGAACTTGCCATGGCAAGTCCAGCGTGGACTTGTCACGGCATGTCCAGAGTGGTCCATCCAGGCGTGTCTATGCCTTGCAGATGTTATGATCGCAGGTCGGCTCATACTGCTTCAGAGCTATCGCAAGGGGAGCTATTAAAGCCTAATCGTGGCATTAGTGACTATTTGGGGATTAAGAATTGAGTGCCGTAAAGCCACGGCTTCCATTGATACGGCTGTGAATCAGTACAATACTTCCGGGCAGTTACTGTGGAAGGTCATGTCAGAATCTTGCAACTTGAGACATCACGACTCGGTACCTGCTCACATACCCAGGAAACATATTCGTTCCAAATCCTTCTGAACAAAAAACGAGTCCCTGCAGAAGCCCCGGCCCGGACTTCCCCGGTACCAAGTGCCATGTTGACATCTCTCAGCCATGGGTTGGCCGGCCGGTTCAAAGCAGCCCCCTTTCGCGTGTGATCCCAAGAGGCATAGAAGGGACATGCAACGCATGTTTTTTGTTTGAGGATACCCTGTGGGGTTGAGTTAAAACGAAACAATCGGGGAACAAAACCACCCCAGTTTAACGGGTTGAAGATAAAAGAAGGGAAGGGATCAACCCGGCCTCATAGCCTTTCTGTTTTTCGCGGTTTCCCCGGAATGCTGAAATGATGGCCACTTCTCGGCATCAGCTGAACTGGTTCCAAGGCTTGTGGCTTTCACCAGTACCAGGGCAACAGCTACAAGGAGTGCTGCCTTTGTATTGCCCCCGATGCAGGTTGATCCATGAACCTTTTTGTAGAACACATGTTCTACCCATGGTCTGGGCATGAGGTTCGGAGCAACCCGCGGGCAGGTGTCCTTTTTAGGTTAGTGTGCCCGAAAAAAGATGGCTCGGCTTTAGGTTGGCTTTATTGCACATGACAGGGCCATCCATTTTTCCAAAAGGACGCCTATGGCAACCCGTGTCACATGGTCCGGGTGGCCGAAAGAAAGCAACACATGCCATAACCTTTGCTTTCCTTTTGGGGAACATCGCAAACCACAGGCTATGCTAGCGGGTTCACATCATCGCACCCTGTCTAGTGGAAAGCCCATCGAGTCCTGTTGAAACTTGGCGGGGTCTTGCTAGGGTTGAGTGCATGTCGAGTCCATCCCCGTCACTTAGCCAGCGCACATGGGGCTGAAAGAACAACCCCGCGCCTTTTCGTTATGTAATGGGCCGTCCCTTAACTTCTTTTGCAGGACAAAACCATTGTGAACCGATACTGGGGGGCAAAAAAGAAGAAACCCTCAGAAGCCAGGCAGACACACATCAGGTCCAAGTTGTTGTCGCAAACAAAGATTGCGGAATCATGAATATGCAGGGCCGAAACCGATACGCAAACCGATGCCCAACCGATACCCAACTCATTGGCCGCCATGCCGAATCCAACCAGCCCTGCAGCATTTCCTGGAGGTGCCAAAATGTACTTTGTACTATACCCTTCCAGCTGGAGCTGACACTTGTAGTGAAAAGTTGCGAGTTTCGAGCCGGAGCTGCCAGAGCGTTTCTACACTTGTACGGAAAAGTCGTGACTTTCGAGCTAGAGCTGCCAAATCACCGATGCGCTGAGGAAAAAAACCGATACTGACCCATACTGGGGCACAATAAAGGTATAAGGGTTGTCTGCGGTTTTTTGCTCAACCCACATGGCATTCAGTCTCAGATTGCTGCAGGTTAGTGGCAAAATGGCAACCTTGATTGTGAGTGTGTGGCAGCCACTTGCATACGCACGATTTTTCTGGAGCGCGATTCTATTGTGCGATGCTATGGTTGGTTCTCGGTGCTCGGGCCAAGACCTTGCAACCACAGTGCGCAAGACGCGGCACGCCAAACAAAAATGTGGTTCAGCTTGGTCGTGCAGAGCAGCAGTCTTTGCAATGACGACCTGTGCTCTTGATGTCGTATTAGCTTGGGCATGAGAAAACACGTGGCAATGCAAAGTACACGGAAGAGTCAGGGGAGCGTCTGCAGATGTTGTGCAATGTTTTATCACATTGTCCCTTGAGATCAGTTGTGTGCTAGAGTTCCGCACCAGAGTTGACTAGCAACTGCTTGTTGCTGCCCCTTCCACCTGCTCGATCAAATCAGAATGCGAGTCACCACGGCCGTTGGATATATCTTAAGCAAGTCTTTCCGGGTTGGTCTGGTTGCAGCTTGCATGGGTCCTTTCGGCTTGATAGCTGGTGTTCTGGTCCATTACCTCAAGCCACCTTTTGATGCTTGCCAAGATGATTTGTTTGTTTTGTTTTGTGGGGTGGCCGTGAAACCTCGACACGGTGTAGAGTTCTGATGCAGGAGCTCTGCTTTTGCAAGCTCACGGGCAACCCGGGCTGTGCGAACAAGAAGTGCACTTGCCCTCAGGGCTGCGGGGGTGATGTCACTTGGCTCACATGCCGGGCGTGTGCGGAACCTGCAGGGTTCGTTTCTTTGTTTGAGGGGAGATGTCTAAAGTCGGTGCGGTTCCAGCACCATGGGAAGCAGCATGCCTGGCACTCATGTGGTTGTATGCATTTGTGTTTGCATGTTCTTGTGTGCGCATGGCTGTTCTGAGTGCATATGTGGAACATGCACATAAATATCCGAAACAACTGCGAAGCTTGCCTGTTATGAGCAGGGTTTGGGGCCATTTACTGAGCTGCCTGACTTGTCTCTCGCCATTCGATAAAAATGCACCGTGCCGGTTCGTTCACAATATCTTGGATACGCTTGGCCAAATCGCAGTGACTACGTTGGGATCAGATGGCAGTTCTTAGGAAGAATCATGATTGGCGCTTTGCGCTGTTGAGCATGAGATGCCATGATTGGATTGGTACTGGAAGTTCTTGTGCCAGCTGAGAAGAGTGTCAGCCGGGTAGAATGCGCCGGGATGCCTCGGGAGTGTTCAGGCTCTTGCTTTCTTGCCGTCGTTGCCCATGCTGAAACTGGGGGAGCATTGCGCAGTATGAGCATCCAGTGCAACATGAATCGTAGCAAGCATCCTTTACCCCCACTTCACCCCCACCCCACCCCCACCCCACCCCCACCCCCACCCCCACCCCTTGAGATGGATTTATTTTATTTTCGTGTGCAGCATTAAAAAGGACCTTGAGATGTACATGTGCTTGATTTATTTTATTTTATTTGTTTACGAGTCTCATGTCATCTCGCGTTCGCCTGGGTTTCAGGCTCTCGCATGTTTGAACGACAGGTGGTGTGGCAAAGCGCCGGCACAGTGACCTTCAAGAATAGAGCTCGTGCCGATGGTTGCCATCCATCCACCGTGCTGCTGAGCCTTGGCTGAGTAAGTGAAGGGCAGGATTGCCACTGTCAAGATCTGGATTCATGACCTTCCAAGCTGCGCGACTGATTGATTCCGCCACTGGCCACGGTCAGATTCGTTTGTGTGTTGGTGAAGGCGCAGGTAAAAAGGAGGTGAGTTTGAGGTAGCGAAAATAAGTCCTTGACATCCCATGCTTCCCATGAGAAGTTCGATCCTGGACTTCAATGTTGACCCAGAGCCATGAGGGGAGTGTGAAATTTATGGCCCTGAATTGCCCCCAAAAAGGTCACCGCTGGTCACTAATGGTCACTAAAAGTAACTGTTCGTCATGAGTCACGATTGGGCTGCAATGGCTCCCTTGAATTGACTCTTGGCCAGCCTGCACTTGCTGTGCGTGCAATCCCTAACTTCTCCTGGCTTTGCTGGATGTCAAAAGTCTCAAACAACGATGCAGTTGCAGATCAAGGCATCAACCGGTATTTCGGCATAGTTTTTCAAACCAGGACAAGCATCACGTTGTCTCCTTGCACTCATTTGAACCCTCACCTGAATTCACTCAAGCTTTTAACCTAACTTTGAACCTTATAAAGTGCGGGCCAGATTTTCCAAAGGATGATGAGTCTCTCCAGCTGTGAAGGGGCAGCAAGATGCCCCTGGCGGCGTCTACAAGTGCGATCGCATGTTCCTATCCTTTTCTGCAATGCGAGGGTCCCATGGTTTGTTCCGAACTTAGAGGCCAGTGGATTGGTTTTTCTCATGGGCACGGCCCAAAACCATGAGCTCCAAACCTTTGCAGGATCACCCTCGCAATTTGTGGTTTCGGAGCAGTTGTTCAAAGCCGCAGATCCTGGGGATCCAGCTCATTCTCTCAACCCGTCACCTTGACGCCACCCAAAACGTCGCCAGGACTGCGCCAAAGACCTTCATCGCGACGCCTCGGGATCTCAAGCAATGCGGGGGCGCTGCGGTGAGCGTCATCGAGACCTTGCTGCGGGACAGCTGGATCCTCTACCAGTCCCGAGTGCCACTCGGACAGTGGGGTCACGAATGCCGTTACGTGGATTTGCGCAGGGTGGTCCTCAAAGTGGGTGTCCTTTTGGCTTGCTTTTAAGACCATCTGAAAGAGGGAACCCTCAAAAAGACACACAGATGGAAGAAAGAAGGTCCCGGCCACCCCGTTTGCAAAAAAACCTTCATGTGAGTGAGGAAGTGGTGGTAGACGAGCTGTGTTTGGCAGAACATTGTCAGGAAAACACAATCTTGGGGAGTCCTGAAATTAGCACTTCAAACTCTCCTGCCGCGCCGTAGTTGCGCTGGTGACCTTGCAGCGGAAGGGCGCTCAATTCTGTGCAGACTCTCTCCGAGATTGCCCTACTCTAAATCCCACAGGAGTTCAGCTTTGATTCTGAGTCTCTTTCAAGCCCTGCCAGCAAGTGCTGAACCAGCTTTGAGCCTGGGATGCCCATGAAAGGCACATGGGCTGGGAAGGTGCTGCTGGCTGCAAGGCACAAATCCCCAGATATGCGAACGATGGCTTACGACCGAACCGGGTTGCAGGTTCGACAGGAGACTTTGGTCCGGCTGATTGTCCCTTGGCTTCTCCTTTGGCTTTCTCTTCAAGGCCTTAAATGTGTTGCTGTTCTTCGCGATCACTTCACGGCAAAAGGTGTGTCTTTGCCCTCGGCCTTCATTCAATTTAACTGGTGGTACGCGACGCGAGACCCCGATCCAGTCAGGGTAGCAGTTTTTGTCCATGGGAAGCAAGTATGAATGTGCAAAGCAAAGCGCTGTGTTCATTCCCTGGACCTGTCTCCCTCACATGTGGATGGCAAAGCGGACACTTCCCCCTAAACGCTGGCGTTCTCAAATCAGACCAGAGGGAACCCTTGATTTGGAAGAACCACGCGAGTCACCCTCACTCAGGGTTCCCTGTATTTCTAGGGGTACCTTCCCCATTCTTTCCAGGGATCCTTCTTTTTAGGAAACCATCAAAAACCCAGGGGAAACAGCCGGTTTTTGAAAGAACGATGGTTGAAAAGAATGGGGAATCAACCCCTAGAATATTTCCCAACTTGGCGTTGGTCACTCCTGGGAATACACGCTAAGGGGCAAGGGCTCCATGAACCAGTGCTTCCATGGCTCGCACACGGCAAGTGCAGCTTGGCTTCAAGCGGCCGGGGGCTGGCAGAGAATCAGATGGGGAGGTCTAGGCTGATCGGCTTATTCCATGAACACCTGACAACAGAGCTCCCTAACTTATTGATGTGTGCGTGTGCAGTATTATTATCATCATCATTCGTATACTGTTGCTAGTATGTACTGTTTTGTTTGTTGGTTGTTGTTTTTGCGGGAGCGGGAGGCACACATATTTGGGGATGTGATGCCCAATCCTGGCACTGGCACACTTGGGTTTAACCTAGGATGGGGTCCTCGTTGTGCCCTGAATTGCTGGTTGTCCCTGTGGATGAATGTCAAAACCAACCTAAAAAAGGGCTCCGAGCCACACAAAAGAACTGATCGAGGACCCGGGAGTTGCTCATGTGTGATCATGTGTGATCAGTGCCGTAGCACAGATAGACAAGTCAACCGAGACATTGTTAGGGTGCACAGGGCATCCAAATTCCATCAGCCGGCGCCTGGACAATCCAAGCTTTCAAGATCGACAGCTGCCCCCTCTAGGCTTTCAGCCTCCCAGCTGCGATGGGGACCCACACTCCATCAAACCCAAAGAAGGAGAGACACGCGTAAACCACACCCTGGCGTTCGGAATGGCGTGAGCATCGCGGAAGGTTTTGGGGAAGCCGCTTTTGAAAGAGTGTAAATTTGATTCTTCAATTGGGTGCCTTCTCTTGGTTGTTTGGTGCATGGATGGGCTGCTGAGCGCCCGACAAGACTCAAAGCTTGCTGCAAGCCTGCCGGTCCCAAATTGCCCGCTTGGAAGATGAAAGGCACAACCTTTTTTGGTCTCCTCTCTGTGTTAAAGACTGGCAGCAAGCATTCGAACACCGAAACCGAGCGAGCCAAGGTGAAGTACCTCCACCTTCAGTCCTTTTGCTCCTATGCCTCCTTCCATGCCATGCCAAACAGCTGCTCGGCGCTTTTTGTTTTTAAGAGCCGGGTGGGGTATTGGACTCTTTTGCCGTTCCAAGATTGTCAGAATGGAGGCTATTCATCCAAGCTGCCCCTGTTCAAGCCATGAAGGTGAACCGGCACTTGTGCGCGTGTTTGTGTGTGTGTGTCTGTGTGTGTGCGAGTAGAGTCTCGTTTAAGTAGAGTGTTGATGGGGTTGGGTGCAGCTGGTTCTGAAGGGTTTTACAGGCCCACAATTCTTGGGAGTGCATTTCAATCACCAATCACACCATCTATGCCTTCTTGTGAGACAGAGACAGAGAGAGAGAGAGAGAGAGAGAGAGAGAAAGAGAGAGAAAGAGAGACACAGAGAGAGAGAGTGTGTCCATTTGGGTTCTTTTCCCGGTGACCCCCAACATGGCTTCGGTTTTCCTTTTGGTTTGCCATAAAGAAAGCCAATTCCAACACATGGGTCGCCGCCGAAAAGCGACGAGCCGCGGAAATTTGCTGCTGAGACAACCACGCGGTGGGCGCCTGCGTGAAGATGCACAGCCTGAATGAGGCCGGCCACTTGGCGAGGCGGGGCTTCGCGGGTCTCAGTGTGGAGAGTAGGGGCACCACGGGGCACCTTGTCTTTGTTGGGTTGGGGAAAATAGAGTTTTGCAATTGAATCCTCAAAAAGTGAAACTGGTACCATGTTGCATGAATAGCAGCAAACCTTCAATTTGGGGAAAGGAAGTTCCTTCCAAAGCAAGTTCTAATTATTGATTTCTGTGTTGTTTCAGGGGCACGAGAAACTGGGTCCCCTTTTTTAACCCCCACTGAAGCTGAAATTCGAAACTGAGGGCGGAAGCTCAAATTCAGGTTTCCGGGCTTTCCGGGCCGCTAAAGCTGAAAACGCGGCTGACACTGAAACGCCTAAATTCTGAAATTGGTTTCGCTTGAAGTTGCCGCCTTTGTTCGCAGCACTACGCCGCTGTGCCGTTGCAACTTGCACTGAAAGACGCTGAAGCCTCGATTCAAATTAACCTAGCGAAGGCAAACTCTACATGGCCCTTGCCCAAGCAACAGCCTTTTGGCACTGGCGGAAGCTCATATTTCGAGAGCATGCTTGACGTGTTCAGCAAAGAAATGCCACCTTGGGTCGATACGGCTGACGGCTGCGGTCTCGTGGCCTCGTGTTTTCGGAGTCCATCTGGGTCCGTAGGTCCGACAAAGAGGCGGAAGCATGCGGGAGCGCAAGCCACAAACCCATTCGAATAGTGGGGCTGAGGGTTCCACAATGTCAGGGGATAACTGGCCTGACTTTGGGGTAGGAGATCTGACCATTCTGTGTCTCCTTTCTTTCTGTGGCCTGCTATCCACCTACCTTTCTCCATCCGATAGTGTTTTTCAATCCACTGCTACCGGTGCGGCCAGTTCACCGGGCAATTAGCCAGAAGGTACTGGAAGCAAAGTAAAGAAACCAAAAAAAAACACGCGGTTTTTCAAGCTCAACTCACCAAAAGTCCCCAAAAGGGTTTATCCTCTCATGGCTTCGAAATTCATTTTTGCGGACATGTTCGGCTTTGCCTCAGTTTCAGCTTCGAACTCCGTCTTCGCAGCCATTTTCGGCGTCGCCTCTAACATCGTCTTTGCCAGTTTCCTTATCGAGTTTCGTCTTCACGGACATGGGCATCGCATTTTAAGCTTCGTCTTTGTCTTCGGCCATCCATCAAATGGTGACCCTCTCTACGCTCAACGTGTTATGAATCTAGGTTGAATTTCCAGCATACCGTCAATAGCATTTACTGAACATCAAATGAAACGCAGACCCAAATATAATTCTCGTAATTGTTCGGCATGTTCAGAAAATGTGTCAGATCAACGTTCCTCCCAAAAGAAGGGTCAAGCTGCGCGCGTGTCATTTTCCTCACAAGATCCGAGATGAAGAAAACATCTTCGGACCCCAAAAGGATTTGGGGTCCGAGATCCGAGATGCACTTGGGTGATGCACAGATTTCAAGGCACCCCAAAAGGAAAGCGATGGACCAGACTCACGAATGTGTTTTGCAACATGTCGGAGGCCCTCAGCTTGGGCAAGAACGTTGCGCAGTCGGGGAAAAATGCTGCACGGCATTTCCACTGGACCAAAACCTCAGGAACCACACTCGGCCAAATGCCAGGATTGCTATTTGGTGAGAGGTGGCAAAACGCAGCCAAAAGCTGAACAAAGGTGGGCTGTGTGTTTTCTGTTTGGGGGGCATATAAATATATACACACATACATGTATGTGCATTATGTTATGCATATATGTATATATATATATTTGTATCCTTTCCCATGGCTGCTGACCAACCAGCAACAGGCATCTGGCGGCGCGAATAGGATCCATCTCCCAGCCAGGCACCCGTAGATCGGTTCATGGCAATTCATGCCCTCGCCTGCGTGAAAACGCTTAACTCTCACTCCCCGAGTTCCTTGGCTTGAAGCCTTGGGATGGCCGTGGCGAATACAAAAAGTTTGCACTTGGTTTGGCCAACGCAGGACGTGAATTTGCAATTTGTGTTGCCCTCCCCCAGACTAACATGGAAGCTCCCAGGACCATTTTGGAAGACTTGGCTCCATTTACAGAGGCCTTCTGAGAGCTTCCATGTTAGTCTGAGGGAGTGTACCAAATGTACGTTTCGCGGGTTGCGGGCATGGCCCTCTCAAGTGACCCATACCTCAGCGAGGCGCCCTTGGGCTGGCGCTTGTCGCATGAGACACGTGTGTCGGAGTAACAAGCAGCATGCGGAAGCCCAGGGTGGCGGGATGGGTTTGACCAGTCCTGTTCGTGACCATTTTGGGTCAAGTCTTGGTTCGGCTCGTAGGGGGGGCAGGACCTGGCAGTCTCGAGCTCAGGGCCAGTGGCTTCCGAGGGATCCCTTGGGCCTCTTTGGTTGTGAGTTCGGGTTTTGCTTCGGGGACTGTTTTCCTCCGACGGCCTTACCTTGACTACACGCTGAGTCAGATTCCCGCTTTCGTGAAGAGACCGCGTTTCCATTCAGTCATGGATCCTGACGGCAGCGAATTAGAGGCCATTTCTACTTTGGCGGAGGCATGTGCTTGGTCTGGGGTAGATGGCGACTTGCAACAGTCTCTCATGAACCAACTGGGAACACCCGCGAAGATCAGAGAGATTGCTCTCATCAATAGGCCAAATTGGGATAAGGCGATTTCTGCACTCAAGATTGCCGTGCAGTCAACCGACAGTGCAGTTCCCGCCACTGAGAGGGAACTGAAGCCAGTGGAAGTAGCTCGTGCTGAGTCACTGAGGAGGGTGTGCTTGCTCAGGGTTGGCATGCCTGTCGATCATCCAGGGTCGACAGGAGCGCCAGTTGCCTCAGCCCTTGGGCCGCCTGCAGGTCCTCAAGGCGTGACGCCGGGAGCAGCGCCTGCGTCTAGGCGGCTCAAGCTGGCTTCGGTGGTCGACCCCACCTTGGATGCCGAGATTGTGAATTTGACAGCTACCGAGGCTTCTCACATGTACACAGAGTACAAAAAGCGTTACGGAGACCTTCCTGGGGCCGATTCCGATCCTTCCCCAGATCAGCTCGCGGGGTTACACCAAGTCGTGAAGTCTGGGTCGGTTCCATACGCGGACTTCAGCATATTCGGGCCGCACGGCCTTAGATTGTTGCGACGCCAGATGTACACTGCTTACCAGTTGAACGCCGCAACAGGTGAGTGGTGCAAGCGGGAGCAGCCAGGCCCTCCTGGATTTCACGATTGGTACAGGTGCTGGAAATGCTTCAGATGCACCATGCTCCTCATTGAAGCATGCAATGCGGAGCGGCTTGACGCATACTCAGAGCACATCAGGTCATTCATCACTCAGTTCGGTGAGGAGTCGTGGTGGGTCATCTACAGGGCTGATGTTCGGATGAGATCGGAGCATCTGGAGCGCATCCGTCGCGAGCTGCGAGTGGGAAAGGTTGCCGGGTTCTCTGACACGGATCCATGGCCAGCAGTCTTTGCTCAGGCAGTGAGAGACCACGAGTTCTGGTCCAGGGAAGTAGTCATCCCGGCAACTTTGTGGCTGGCAAACAACAAGCGGCGGGCTGCTCCAAGCAGCGAGGCAAATGAGCCCGGAACAGCTTCTGTGCCTTCGCAAGGCCCCGCCAAGAAGGCTCGGGCCAAACGTACCTACAACGGTGAGGACAAGAGCTTCAAGGACAGCTCGGGCATCTACACCCACAACAGGAAAGGCATCGAGATCTGCCGCAAGTACAACTGCAATGAGTGTGGGTCCACACAGGCTCAAGGCAAGTGCCAGCAGTCCAAGAAACGGTCGCATCAGTGCAACCGCTGCTTGGGGCCGCATCAGGCAACTGCCTGCACCAAGCCTTGACCCATGGCCCGGCCAGGCGCGGGGGCTGTGTCCGCGCCTGGCAGCGCCGGCAGAGCGCAGCAGGCACCTGGGCAGGGCTTCCTGCATCCTGCGTCCAGAAAAGTGCCAGAGCCACAAGGCCCGCCGCCGAAGAGGCAGCGATTGTTTCCAAACCCTACGAGCTATGGCTGGTGGTCTGAGCCCTCTACGGGACGGCAAGAGCGACCGTGCGCACTCATTCTGTTCTCTGGCCCGGCACGCGAGGGAGACATTCGATGCCGCTTGTTGAAGATGGGCTGGAGAGTTTGTTGCATAGACACCGAAGCTCCAACACCCACAAACCTCTTGGATGATAGGGTCTGGACACTCCTTCTCGCTGACATCAAGAAAGGCGTGTTTCAGGCTGCGTGGATTGCAACCCCATGCAACACCTTTTCTCCTCTAAGAGAGCACCCGCCCGGGCCGAGGCCGCTCCGTTCCAAAGAGCGAATTCAGGGCTTGCCAAAGGCAAGCTTGTCATTGGCAGAGCAGAAGCAGTTGAAAGAGGCCAACATCCTGGTCTCCCATTCTGCAGAAAGCGCCTGCGAAATGGCTCTTCTCCATCTTCCGGTGGGGATCGAAAACCCGACCCACTCCAAGAACAAGCCGCAGTTGTGGGACATGCCAGAGATTTTGAAGCTTGTGGATCGATGCAAGTTTGAGGCAGTTGACTTTGATCAGTGTCGTGTGGGATGCGAGGTCACCAAGCCCACGCGGCTCCTTGTCCACCTTCTAGACTTCAGCAACCTCAACGAGCTGCGGTGCAACCATGAGCTTCGGGAATGCACCATGTCCGATGGCTCCGTCCGCAAGGCCAAGCATTGCTCCCCAGTCCAGCGCTGGCGAGAAGGCGAGCAGGGGCAGGAGCGGGCGTCCAAAGCGTTGGGGCGCTACACAGCTGAATTTTGCAAGACCATTGCGGCAGCGATCCACAAGACACAGGCCTGCGCGGGCTGGCTTTCTGAGGAGCTGAGGCGGGAAGACATTCCCTGACTCTCGCAAAGCTTTGGTGCGTTCCTTCCAGCTTTTCCGGAGCTTTCTGCTCGGGAGCTGGAGAACTGCCAAGCCTTGGGAGGCATGCGAAATCCTTCCCGTTCTGTTCCACTGGTGCAAAGAGCAGCGGCGACTGGGGCCACAATTCAGCAGCTATTGGATAAAGCTCTTCAGCTGTGGCCGGAGCTGCAGAGCCCAGCTCAAGCGATCCTTACAGGCAGGGCTCCTGAAGAGCTATCCGGAAGCGTAGTTGCGGCAGTCAGGGATTCAGTTTTGACCGTTCTATCTGCAAAGCCAAGCTCTACAGCAAGGACTGCAAAGGCGAAGACTGCTCTTTCTGCAGACATCATCCGTGCTTGGGGAGATGCTTCAGGGGATCCGGACTCACGCACTTTGGCTGATTGGCTGGACAACGGCGCCCCTCTCGGCTTCTCAGAGCCTATTCCTTCTAACGGAATCTTTCCGGCGGTGGCAGGCTCTGAGTGGGAAGCCGAGGCAATCAACCAGCTTGTGCGCAGCGAAGCTGGGTGGGAGAATTACAAATCTGCAGTGGAGGAGCAGGAGGATCTTGTCCGACTCATCGCAGAGGCTCAGAAACAAGGGTTTTGTCACCGTGTCCCGGACTTGGACGCTGCCGAGAGCGAGCTTGGGCGCAAGCCAATCCTCAACAAGTTGGGAGTGGTTGTGAAGTTCAGGAACGGTGTGAAGAAATCCCGAATCATTTGGGATCTTCGCGAGAGCCGTGCGAACTTGGCATGCTCGCAAGGCGAGCGTATCCTTCTTCCAAAGCTGACCGACCTGGCGCAGGCGGCCCTGAAGGCGTACAAATCCGGCACACAACCGTGGATCGCAGTTGTGGACATCAGGGACGCGTTCCACAACATCCCGGCAGGGAAGGACAAGTTCGCCACAGCAGCTTCAGCACCTGCCGCAGACGGCGTCAGCTCCATCGTCATCTACGATGTGTTGGTGTTCGGTAGCGCTTCCAGCCCGACCATCTGGGGTCGGTATGCCGCCTGGCTTGGGAGAACCCTTGCTGCGGTCGAGCGCCAGGCAGACACGCAGATCTATGTAGATGATCCGGCTTTTGTCCTCCAAGGCGATCTGGCGGGGGCTGTGCGGTCCCTTGCCAGAATCCTGCTGTGGATGGCGGTGGCAGGCTTTCCAGTCAAATTGGCAAAGGCTTCAGGAGGCAAGTCAGTTGAGTGGATTGGGGCTTGCGTTTCGTTCCGAGACGAAGAGCGCGCTGTTACAATTTCCATACCCTCAGACAAGGTGGAAAAGCTGCAAAGCGTTTGCAAGCAGTTCTTGGCCAAACCAGTGGTTGGCGCGAGACAGCTCCGTTCCTTTGCGGGAGGGCTGTCCTTCGTCGCCGGGCTGGTCCCACACCTCAGGCCCTTCCTGTCAACGATTTGGGCGGCCCTTGGCAAAAGTGGGTCAGCGAGTGACGAATCTCGCAAGAGATTTGGAAAGCTGATTCACACCAGGCGGTTTCGCCAGGCGTTGACTTGGATTATGGCTTTGTTAGGTGAGGACGTTGCCCCGCTGATGCGCACATTTCACGCCATGCACCGGCCGATGGACGCTCAGATCATCACTGACGCTTGCCCTTTTGGCATTGGTGGCGTGCTAATGCGGGAGGGCCAGCCTGCTGAGTTCTTCGCATCAACAATTCCGGAGAATGCCCTGGCTCGTTTTCAGGCTGAGGCCGGCAATTCCAAGTGGAACACAGTTTGGGAAGGCCTTGCGCTTTTGGTAGCTTTTCGGTTGTGGTTGCCACTCTTGGGCTTCGGCGCCACTTGCTTGGCAAAGTCCGACAACATGGGTGTAATCTGCATGTTGGCAAAAGGTCGGGCAAAGTCGGCCGATCTCAACATCTTGGCCCGCGAGTTTGCACTCGACCAGGCGTTGCAGGTGTACAGGATCCATTGGTTGCAGCACATTCCTGGCATCACAAACAAAGATGCCGACGCCTTGTCCAGACTAGAAGCACCAATTCCCGAGCCCTTTCCGCAGCACCTTGCAAACGCAAGGCGGAGGGCCGTGCAAGTGGACACAGACTTCTGGCGTGTCCCAGTTTTGTGAGTCTGAAAAAGAAAAACACCAACACACGCTGCATACGCATAGACGAAGCATTTGATTTCCTCTTTGCTGCGGTGTTGGCTTTTGCTGTTTCCGGTGTTTTTTTTGGTTTTCGTGATTTTTTGCTATTTGGAGCTCGTCGGTCCAGATGCCGTTCAAAAGGTCTCTCAAGACTTGGCAGCACGGGTCCGGCGCCGAACCAAATGTAAGACCTCGGCTTTGCCATGATGTGGCACCGCTGCGAGAGGGGCCTGTGTTGACCCAGGGCTGTGTCACGGGGGGTGCAGCTTCGTCCCGTCCTGACGGCGCTGAGCCAGCTCCGTACACCAGGGGCTCTGCAGCTCTGGCTTTCCAACTGGCTAAAGAACACCCTGACCGTTGCAGAGATGAGCTTGTGCATTCAGCCTTTGCACCAACCAGCAAGGGGCCCATCGCGTCCAGAAGGAAACTTTGGGACCGCGTTGCTTCAACTGCAGGTTTCCAGAACACCTTTCTTTTGACCTGCGAGTTGATCTTTACCGTTATGGGCGCCTTGAAACTTGCAGGGTACCGCTCTGCCGAACTCTATTTGGATGCGGCGAAATCAAGGCATATTTCTCTAGGCTACCCTTGGTCTGACCAATTGCAACTGGCTGCTAGGCATGCTATTCGCAGTTGTAGGCGAGGCGTTGGCCCCGCTAGGCAAGCGCAAGGATTGCCTCTCCTTCGTTTGGGGGAAGTGTGTCTTGAGGAACCATTAGTGCCGGGCGGGCCAAAATGGCCTGGCAGGTCCACTATTTTGGTTTCTTGGTGGCTTTTGCGGGAAATCGAAGCGCACCACTCCTTGGTTTCCCATATCTCAGTTGACCAGGACGCCCTCAAAATAACATGGCGGCTGCCATCCAGTAAAACTGATTGGCGCGCCATAGGGGCCGAGCGCGCTCATAGATGCGCGTGCGATTTTGTTTCAACCAAGGTATGCCCCTTTCACTGCATGCTTGAACACTTAAAGTGCTTGTCAAGCAACAGAGCGGACTGTTTGTTCCCCGGCATTTCAGGAAAACCAGCCACAAAGCAAGGGTGGGCTGACACATTCCAGGAAATTGCGCGCCGCTTGGGCCTTGCAACCCGCTGGCCCAACGGAGCTCGCGCTTTTACAGGGCATTCCGCCAGGGCAACCGGGGCCATGCACATGGCAAGCGCACAAATTGATTTGTGGCGTATCCAATTGTTTGGGCGTTGGGGGTCGGAGGTGTTTAAACAGTATGTTCGGGATGCGCCCCTGTCGCAACTCGACCATTTGGCAGTCGAATCGTCTGCCGCCTTGTCTATACAAGAAGCCAAGGGACGATTAACTGATCTCCTTCGTAGGGCTCAGGCGTCGCGGCTCCATCTTGAGGTGCCAAACACTGATTGCGCGCCTGACTGCGAAGCTGCAGGCCCTTCAGTTGCTGATGGGAGCTCGCAAATCTTAATTGCTAACTCTTCCCCTGGCGGCAAGGTCCACAAGGCGGCTGTTTTTGACCTTGGTTTCCCCCCTAGGGCGTGGCGCACGCGCTGCAATTGGCGATTCGGGGTCACAGGCGCGGATTTCACACAAATCCGTGAGGCACCGGCGCGTGACAAATGCCGTGTTTGTTTTCCGGAGGTTCGTCATTTAGCCCGCTCAAATTCCGATGGTTCGGTTTCCTCCTCCGCCTACTCATCAACTTCTTCCCACACCACCTCCACTCCTTGACTCTGCGCGACGCAGGTGGGGAAAAATGCAGCGTCAGGAGACAAGTGGGCACGTCTGTCAAAACTGGGTGCAGAGCCAAACAGGCGCTGTAACAGTTTGACGTCTCTGACGGCCAATTTTGTCTAAAACCTGCAGCTGCTATCGATTGGGTGGAGGGCTGGGAGATGAGAGGCGGGAGCGTCCGGCTTGTTGCATGAGACACGTGTGTCGGAGTAACAAGCAGCATGCGGAAGCCCAGGGTGGCGGGATGGGTTTGACCAGTCCTGTTCGTGACCATTTTGGGTCAAGTCTTGGTTCGCCCGCCCTATGACACAGTCATCCCACCCTTTGTGGGGCACGTCTGTCAAAACTGGGTGCAGAGCCAAACAGGCGCTGTAACAGTTTGACGTCTCTGACGGCCAATTTTGTCTAAAACCTGCAGCTGCTATCGATTGGGTGGAGGGCTGGGAGATGAGAGGCGGGAGCGTCCGGCTTGTTCATTCGAGCAAGACATTTGAGATGCGTTCGTTTGGGGAGATCGGCACTGCCACATGTCCTTTGCTTCAGTTTGATACTTGTCCATCTGCATTCTAGATTCTGAATTGTGAGGGTTGATAGGACTTCTGGATTCAACCAGGTCTCCTCCAAAACTATCTTGGATTTTAGGGTATGCTAAATATGAGCCGCAATCTGAAAGTTGTTTTTTGCAACCCCAGATTTAGGCCAAAGCAACCAAGCTGGATTCCGAGGCCTTGAATCTAAATTCCCTGGGACAGGGGGAAGGAATCGTCCAAATTGAAGCTTGTGAGATGCACGCAAACAAAGAAGAGATACAAACCCTTTCAAAAATGCAGGTTAAGTCAATTGAACTTCAGGGCACGCAAAATCGGATGATAGCTGAGGGCTCCCTTCATCCCTTTTTTCCCCGGGCTCCTTTGGGGTATGGCGGCCATGACGCCAGGCAGCTCTTCAACATGATGCAGTGAGGGCATGGTCCGATTTCATCGCGAGTGGCAAAAGCGAATCAAAAGACGCCAGCCGCTTGAACCCAGCTTGACTGAAGATCCCGTGTGGCTTTCAATCGGCTTGCGGCGAATTGGCTTTGTACAAAGGGGGTGCTGTCCGACTGCATGCGGAAAATGAACTCAAGCACATTTTTCAGCTGCCAAGCATTTCAGCCGACTTTTGCCTCTTTTGCATTGTGCGGCAGTTTGTTTGCACCTCGGACGTCCTCAAGTGCCTATGCGTTGGCTGTTCGGTGCCTGGGTCTGGCACCCTCTGTGCGGGCCAGGGTGAGGTTGGAAAATCTTTTCGCTGACGAAAACGAGAACATGCCAACATAACTTGCAGCTTGCAAGCCAGAAAAGCACCCAATTGCAAGCATTTCCTAGTTTATTTGCCTGGTCTTGATGTTTGCCACATCCGATGAAGACAGCCAGCCAAATTCCCTTCGCTCTGCGCGCAGCGCAGTACGTGTTGCCAACTGTTGTTATGCGTTGTTATGGATATGTATGGTCGATCATTCCTGGTGCCACGTCATTCCTTCTGCGTGATTTCCAGACCCGAAAGCACCCATCAGAGTCCCGAAATGTGCCGGATTTCAAAGGCCCAGGTTTGGAAGCTGAGACAATCTCACCAAGGCTCATGTGTTTTGTCGGCGGGGTTCCTCAACCCTTACACTTCGCGGGCAAGAGATCGATGGTCACCGCTGCCAAGGCTCCCCCGAGATACCTTCGACGCCCATCGCCCGGGGCCCCGGCAGAACTGTATGTTGGGTGACCTTTTACTTCAGACCAAACTGAAGGCCTATTTGACTCTACCGCTATTGGGTTGGATCTTTAGACTTTGACTTCTTGGAAAATAAAGGTGTTTTCCACTAAACCCCCAAAAAGTTAAAACTTTTCGCAGGGGGTCAACAGCAACCAAGTTGATATTTGGTAACTTGGGGCGACTCGATGCGCTCTTGCTACACTTGGCAGGGTTACGAATTGCGTCAGGTCAGCACCTGCGTCCTTTGAGATTACCTCGTGATGTAAAATGTCGCTACATGTCTGATCCATAGCTTGCTTGATGTCTGATAGCATTGCATGCAGGAAGCCACATGATTGGCTCGGCATCAGGACGCCTCGTGTGTATCGTGTGTGCGATTGGGAGCAAGGCTACTGAATCCACTGCATGGTATTCCAAGAGCACAAGGGCATAATATGTTGTCCTCCCCCACATGTGTTGTCGATACGTTACAACATCCCGACTGGTGACCAGTGAGCAGCTGTGCTTCGGCTCCGGGGAGTCCTCTCTGAAGATATTCAGTGACATCCCTGTGCACCAGTGGTGAACTTCCTCGGGATTTTGAACTGGGCACTGGGCATGGAAATGTGTACCTTTGTGGGCACTGAAGGTTTGCTGCTCATGTTTTGCAACTTCCCCTGGCGCCCAAGCACCAACAGGACGCACAGCGTACATGCTCGGTTCTTCCTGTGCAGTTGTGGTTTGGAAAGCCAAGCCAATGGTTTTTGGTACTCGGCCGAACTAACCAACGTTGAAAGCAGCGACGGTGAGTACAACGCCAGCAACATCAGCAGCATTGACAAAATCATCGGCAAGAACGGCAGCCACAGAAGCAACAGCGATGATGGTGGCGATGGCAACAACACAATCGCAAAAACCAGCCGGGAACGGGAAACCAACATACTAGATTCTGCAACAACAACAACAACAACAACAACAACACCAACAACAACAACAACAGCAGCAGCAGCAGCAGCAGCAGCAGCAGCAGCAGCAGCAGCAACAACCAGAGGAAGAAAAACAACAACGGCAGCACCATCAACAACCACAACCACAACAAGAAGACGAAGAAGAATAACAACAACATCCAGAAGAAGTAGAAGAAGCAACATAATACTAGCAACAAGAAAACATGCAAGAATAACAAGATCAACAACAACAATATACATATATATATATATATCAATAATAGTGCCAATGATAACAATGATGATAGGCAGATAGACAAATAGACAAATAGATGGATGGATGGATGGATGGATGGATGGATGGATGGATGGATGGATGGATGGATGGATGGATGGATGGATGGATGGATTGATACATAGATAGAGAGAGACAAACAAATCCTAGAAAATCATAGATCGACAGATAAACAGATAGATACAAAGAGAGAGAGAGAGAGAGATTGGTAGAGAGAGAGAGTAACAGATAGATAGAAAGAAACATAGAAAAGACATACATATATATATATATATATATGTAAATAAATAGATATGCAGATAGATCGATCGATCGATCGATAGAGAGAGAGAGAGAGGGAGAGATAGATGCATAGATAAGTAGGTAAATAGAAAGCTGAATGGAGAGATAGATAGATAAATAGACAGATAAGTAGATAGACAGAGATATAGATAGAGAGATGAATGGATGGATAGATTGGCAGGTAGAGAGATAGAGAGAGGTAGATAGATCGATAGATTGGCGAGTAGAATAAACAAGGATACATTGACATTCATAAATTGATAGATTAGTTGAGAAATAGAAAGGTAAATGGAGAGATAGATGAATAGATAGTCGGGTAAAAAGATGACGACAAATCAGATAGGTAGATAGATAGATAAATATATGGATATGTAGAAGGATAGATATATAGGTAGATAGACAAATAGATAGCTAGACCGTTCGACCGATAGACCGATTGACAAATAGATAGAGACATCGAGAGATAGATACATAGACAGACAGACAGCCAGTCTATGTAGAAATATAGATAGACAGATAGTTATATATATATATTATATTTTTATTACAGAGATAGATTTGATGGATCGATAACTGGATAGAAATATGGCTAGATGGATGGATAGATTAGATGGATAGATAGGTAGATGTATCAATATATAGGATAGATAGAGAGACAAGATAAATGAATAGATCATTAGATACATAGGTACATAGATAGATAGATAGATAGATAGATAAATAGAAGGAGATATATAGATGGATAGATAGATAGGTAGGTAGATAGATAGGTAGGTAGGTAGATAGATAGATGGATAGATAAGCAAATATTTCAGAGATAGGTAGATAGATAGATAGATAGATAGACAGATAGATAGATTAGATTAGATAGATTAGATAGATAGATAGATAGATAGATGCATAGATAGACAGATAGACAGATAGACAGATGGCAGACAGATAGAGGGGTCAATATGCTATCAACAGAAAGAACGGCAGAAAGAAAGACATACGGCAAAGGAAACAATACACACAGTGAAGGAATTAGCATTTTGAAAGAACACAAAATCAGAATAAATAAAGACAGATGGAAACACCAAAGCAATGAACAGACAGAAGGAAGGCAAGTTCGATTGAAGAAACACATACATAGAGAGCTATAGTGTTTATGTCACTGGGATTGCCGGCTCTATGATACTCACTGCATTGTTTCATGCAGTTAGCAACTTGCGGTATTCTGGATCGATCAACCGTATCCGCTTGAGGCCACAAAGACCTCTCCGAGTGCGAAATCTGCTACTTGGCTTCGGGTAGTCAGGAGGGGGGCAATTTATTTGCGAGAGTTGCCACTCGCACGTGGGGTATTGTTTTTCAACAGGATCGCTTGAGAGCGGCCCCTGTTTGCCAATGTTGGGCACGAGGCTTGCTTTTCGTCCTTTGTTCGTGAAGTTTTTTTGCATGGCCTTTTCGGCCGCGGGAGGGTTACAGGTTTCAATGGGCTACTTGCAGTGGCAGAATGCCAGAGCTCCTTGGGGCTGCAGGGGGGTTGTTTGTTTTGTGACTTCTTGTGCAAGCTTTACCTGTGATGTGGCGAACATCCCCCCGCCATACAAATGTTTGCAAGGAGGAATCGGACAAATATGCGTGCAACTGCTGCAGTGGTTGCTCGGCTGGAAGGTTTGCAGAGGGATCTTCAAGCCGTTGAATTCGCATGAGTAGTGTTAGCTCGGGGTAACGGGCGAATATGGAAAGCTATGTGCACTGAGGGAGTATAAACATGTCGTTCACATCACATGCTTCGCAGAGAGTCGGGCCAAAATGTTTGCAGCCAGCACTGCAAGACCGGAGGTTGACGGGCTAAATGATTGCCACGGGTCGATGGCACGGTGCACAGTCAAGAGTGTGTGCTGCTTTTCACGGAAGCTGGGTGCCTTCAGAGAAACCTTGCTTTCTTCCAAGCATTGAGTCGGTTGAGGTCCCCCAAGCTGCATTCGACCTAAGCTCTCGTTAGGTTGGTTGCCTTCTTCGCCTTCTTCGTTACGTTTCCTGCCGCGTGTTTCGGTGCGTCGCTACGTCGCTTGTTCTGGGCTGGGCGCCCATGGCCCATGGCCCCGGGCTCTGAGGTCTGGTTGATTATGAGCAAGGAGATGAACTTATCCGACTGCCATGCCGGGAAGCCTCGCGAGAGCGATTTGAGAACTCGGCCTTGTGACAACACTTGGAGAGTTGAGGCATTTGGATCTAGATGGCATGCTGCTCTTCTGGCTGGCTCTGATGTGCATGCTGCTGTTCCCTTCGCTTCGAAATGTCAAGTTGGCTGGGCTGTGCTGGTATTTCACGAATCCCTTGAACCAACCCAAACTCTCGAAGATTTCGACATATTTCGACTCCGTTTCGGCAAGAAAGCTCCAGACGCTTTCATTCGGGCAAGGCCTGCACCTCTTCCACGTGAATTGCGCCACGGCCCTGGCGGGATGGGGACGGCCGTGGCCGAGTGCGCGAGTCTTAAACTGCGCGGGTCCCAACCCCCGGAGCCACGCGAGCATTTGGAGAGGTGAGCTTGAAACGGTGAAGAACTTCAAATCACTTCCCTTTTGTTGTTTCCTGCTCAATTGCTCGCAAACATATGGTTCCAAGTTGCAACGGTGACGTAAAGGATACCATGCACCTCTCCGAAGTTGACAGGGTGCCATTTGACAGTCCACCGGAAGTCGATGATGTGTTCATGCGCCCG